CCCAGTATTTTTTACCAAACGAAGAAGAATACCCGCCATAGTGACACGAGTAGCTTTATTGAAATCGCTGAGAAGACAAACAAACCCATTTCTCTTGTCGGCTTGTTTCCCCCAATTGATGTAAATGCTGGGGAATTGTTTGAGGGCTTACTCTAAATATTTCTGCAAGTTCACGTGTAGTTTGTCGAGGATGAATTTCGATCGCCTGATTTCGACCGATAATGATAGCATTATCGATCGCAGGAGGCCGTGGTTGGTGATCCTCATCTTCGAAAGATTCGTTTCTTTTATCGAAATCGTTGAATCCATTGGCGACACTGGTTTTTCGAAATAGCATCTTCCCCAAATACTTTGCAAAGATCTCAATGGCTAGAACCTAGTGAAGAGCCAATTCAAACAACAAAACCCGACTTCCACGGCAAGAAAGTAATGCTTACTGTCTGGTGGAATTCTCAAGGCATTGTTTATTTTGAGCTGCTTAAACCTGGACATACAATCACGGGGTGAAACGTATGCACAACAACTGGAACGAGTGAACAATGCATTGCTACAAAAAAGGCCTTGATCCCTCAAACATAAAGTTCATTCAAGAGAGCGCTCGTGCACACGTTGCAAAGATTGTTCAGGAAAAACTCGAAGAGTTGGGCTGGGGAACTTCTCCCGCATCCGTCATACTCTCCGGATATTTCTCCTTTGAATTATAATTTTATTTCGCTCAATGCAAAACCATTTGGCTGTAAACAAGTTCAAAGATGTCGAAAGAAGAGGTCCAAAAATGAATAGCCGACTTCTTTGCCTTAAAACAAGCCAATTCTTACGCCGATGGAATTCATTCTTTTTTTTGCATGGAAGATAGAAACAAATCTAGTTAACAAATGGTGAATCTAGAAATATCCAGAGAGTAGTCATACGCTGGGGCTGGGGCTGGGGAACTTCTCCCGCAGTAGGGCTGGGGAACTTCTCCCGCAGTAGGGCTGGGGAACTTCTCCCGCAGTAGGGCTGGGGAACTTCTCCCGCATCCGTATCCCGCCCTACTGCGGGAGAAGTTCCCCAGCCCAACTCTTCGAGTTTTTCCTGAACAATCTTTGCAACGTGTGTACGAGCGCTCTCTTGAATGAACTAATTGTTGATTGAGCTGTTAAACAAACAACTGTTGCTTTTTAAACAGCTGTTGCTTTTTAAACAGCTGTTGCTTTTTTAAAATCAAGAGTTGTTAACTTAAAAACGCGAATTGATAACTGAAGAATCTAATACATGGTTTACTGTTACTAGCTAGCTATTACTAGGTTTACTAGCTTGGCTACGGTAGTCAGGCCATACTTTAAAACGCTTGAACGGTTTTCAGCTTTCGTTTTTCGATTTTCGACTTTCTAGTAATTTCTATCGTAAGTCACAATGAATTTTTCGCTTTCTCGAGCTTGTTTTGTTGCTATTCTGGGAAAAAACTTGTCCTTACAATTAGATGCAAAATGCAAAAATCTTTCGATTTTCGATCAGAAAGCGGAAATTTTTTTTTTTTTGAAAGTTATTTGTGCTCTAAGTTCTCTTCCTCTTTTTCCCTTTTTTTTTACACACACAAAAGCAACAATTAGTTGCCCTTTTAATTCTTTAAAATTACAAATGTCTAGCCAAAGCACAGAAAACGTAAGAAATTCCACTAATTACTGAAAAAGAGGGGTTTTCGAGGAATCTCCTTCGGAGACAACTTTTTGTGTCTAGAAAAAATTGGATACAAAATTTTGTGCAAAAAAAACAAGGGAATGGGGGGAAAAGGATTCTCTGCAAAATATAGAAAAAATTTATCTAATTTTTAACATTTCTCCTCATTAGTTCCCTCTTTTCAAATCGCTTTTCTATAAACGCGTAAACTTTCGAAAGCTACTGTAATCCTTGTCTCTAGTTTTACTTCTAGAGTGCGTTCCTTTTCTAGATGCAGCCAATTTCGCCGTTTTCTTTGACTGGAATAGAACTTTAGACTCTCTATCAATATTTCATATTTAATTTCAAGAGATTTCTGTGAGATCTGCTAGTTTTGACGTTGTGAGATAGTTTTAGATAGAGTGTGTTCCTCGTGAGTAAGTAATTAAGATCATGATTAAGACTAGATAGAGTGTGTTCCTCGCGAGGAAGTAATTTACTCGAGCAAAATCTGCATGAGTACTTTTTACTCGATTAATCGACGCTTTTCGTCGAGCAACTACGAGGCAATCCTCTGTACACGTCGAGTAAACTGAATATCTTTACTTGGGAAGGGAATTTGCCACAAAATCAGTTAAACGACTGAATACCTTTAAAAAGAGTCGTAGATAACTCGTGGCTCGTCATTTTTTTGCAATAATTTTCGCTAAAAGTACGGTAATTTTTCCGAAGTGTGCGTTTTAAAAAAACGCATTACTCGTGAGGAACACACTCGTTTATTTCACCTTTTGCGGGGGTGGGACAATTGCGACCTTTTTTTTGCGCACCTGGACATTTGCGCACCTTTTTTTTTTGCTGGAAAAGGCCTTAGGAAAGGTCGTAGAGCTTCAAAAATGTTTTCATAGAAGGGAATCGTATGCGTAGATTCCGAATTTCGACAAATCAGACCTCGCTGACACGTCAAATTTGGGCTAAAAGGCAAAAGCAAAAACTACGCAACTTAACGCTTAACGCAGTTTTGCCCCCCCCCCTTTTGCATCTTTTGATATCCTTTATGCTACAGAATCAAGTTAAAAGTAGAAAGATTGGATAAAAGTCGAGACAAGGTTACGAGAAAAAGAGAAATTATTTGATGTGTTTTAAAAAAGGATTAGAAAAAGTTGACACGTTTTAGCAAAAAAATATAGAACGTTTTGAGAGAAGCAAGTTTCCATAGCCCGTAGCCCGCGATAGCTGCTACCATAACCCAACTACATAGTCGTAATGAATAAACTCACATCAATTAACTAACTATGTAGGTATGCAAAGAGTAAACCTACGATATAGCTTTATCACTTTAGCTTTATCCCTTTAGCTTTATCCCTTTAGCTTTATCCCTTTAGCTTTATCACTTTATCGCAGATTATCGCTTGATTCCAGCAATACAGATTCTACAGGAAAAAAAGGAGTAGCCGTAATGCTTAACTATGTAGCTACGCACCCTGTAGTGTTGCGCTTAATGCACCTTTTTGGCTTTCGAAGGTAATACATTAAAGTAAGCTGAATCACAGATTATCGCTCGATTCAAGCAATACAAATTCTACAGAAAAAAAAATAATTTCATTCGCTGACAAATCACTTTTTTTTTTATTTCCTCAAAGAACTTCTCCTACAAAATAAAGTGATTAATTTAAATGGAAAGCCGATAATTTTCACAGTTTTCTTCAGATAATCTCTTTAAATCTTGAAATTTTCGAAATCCGTGTAGGATGAAAAAGGGGAATTTACAAATTTGACTTATTTCTACAGAGAAATCCATCCACTTTGCCTACATTTGCATTTTGAAATGAAACTGAGCAAATTTTTGATAAGCTTTGATGAATCAAAGCATGTTTTTCTCCAGATTATCTTAATGAACTTTAAAATCTTTGTTTTTGATTTAAACTTTAAACTTAATGCAAGAAAAAAAAATTGTTTTGACGTGTTTTCCCCGATTAACTTTAAATTAACATCTAAATCTTCAGAATTTCAAAGAATTTACGTACTTGTTTATTGGTAGTTTTATAAAAAATTTTTCATATTTAACGATTAAAGCAAAAGGGGTAGCCTAATTTCCGCAATTGTTGGCGCAACAGGGTCATTTGCGCAACTTGCCATAACTTTCTTCTAAGTCGGCCAATCTTTATGATGTTTGTTTGATTTTGTAGATCTCAATAAGTGCAACAAAATCAAACAAAAATCAGAAAGATTGGCTGACTTGGAAGAAAGTTATGGCGAGTTGCGCAAAAGACCCTGCTGCGCAAGAAAAAAATTGCGGAAATTAGCCTACCCTAAAGTTCTCGGAAAAAGTTTGCCTGGAATATTCCTTAAAAACGAATTCACCAATTCAAGAACATTTTATTCTATTATTTACAAGTCGACTCGAAGAAATACTCGTAAAAAAAATGACTGCAGCTTCCTCTCAAGAAACAAAATCGTTTTGATGTGTTTTCCCCGATTAACTTTAAATTAACATCTAAATCTTTAGAATTTCAAAGAATTTACGTACTTGTTTATTGGTATATAAAAGTTTTATAAAAAGTTTTCATATTTAACGATTAAAGCAAAAGGGGTAGGCTAATTTCCGCAATTGTTGGCGAAACAGGGTCGTTTGCGCAACTCGCCATAACTTTCTTCTAAGTAAGCCAATCTTTATGATTTTTGTTTGATTTTGTTGCACTTGTTGAGATCTACAAAATCAAACTAAAATCATAAAGATTAGCCGACTTAGAGCAAAGTTATGGCGAGTTGCGCAAATGACCCAGCTGCGCAAGAAAAAAAATTGCGGAAATTAGCCTACCCCAAGCAAAATATACAAACACAAAATTTTCCTGGAATCAACTAACAGTTTTTGATAAATATTTCGATAAATAAAAGATATTCAAGCAAGAGAAAAGGTTTAAATTTTGGAAAATATCGGTTCCATTTTGAATTCAATAATTTTCAAGTTAAAGAGTACAAGAGAACAAGTTTACATTCTAGCATACTGTAGTGGAAATGATTGTACTGTACTGAAGCTACTAGCTAACTCTTAGTCTCATTTCCTAGAATGGAAATCATTTCCATTTCCTATAGTATGCTAGAATGGTATACTGTAGTAAGAAAAACTCGAACTTATAGTATCACAAAAGTCTTTAGATCAAAGATCAAAGATATAGATCAATGATATAGATCAAAGATATAGATCAAAGGTTTAGATCAAAGACCTTTCGCAGTACTGTAAGTCCTAGTCCCATTTCCCTCTACAGTATTCCAGTATTTAAAGGTTACTAGTCTACTGGCAAAATCGATATTTTCAATCGTATCAGTTTTCTGATACAATTTACTATCAAATAGTTCTTCTAATGTGTTCCAATTCGAAAGGTTCGTGCCCTAATCGATCTCTCATTTGTGATAATCGGCGAGTCTCGATTCTCTTCGATTTCCTCGTGATGATGCGTTGGAAGGGAAACGGGTGGATGAGCGGATCCCTCACCTGGAAAAAATAATACAATTAAATAATACAATTAAATAATACAAATAAATAATACAATTAAATAATACAATTAAATAATACAATTAAATAATATTGGGTTGTCCAGTTATGAATGCGCGCTTTTACTATTTTGTAAATTTCTCAAGATATCGAACAGATGTATATGAGTGTTATATATCATTCGAAAGCTGAAGATCTCCTCTACATTTTGGAATAAAAAGTTTTTGAATTCATTGAACTTTTTGGGAAATTGACTGCACAACGGGAGAGGTCGTTTTCGAAAAAACCCATTCCAGCTTAGCTATTCCTCAAGTTTTATGGTGGAAAATAACCGCCCAGAAAAGAAAAGAAAAGTAAAGATGCTCTGAAATTGTTATATTTTTAAAAAACTTGTATTGATATATCTATTGGCCAAACGTCAAACGGTTAACTCAATTTGAGCGGAGCCAAAACTTGATCCAAAGGCACCCTTCCATTTTTGGACCACCTTTTCTTCTGTGCAGTCAATTTGCCCAAAAGCTCGACAAATTCAAAAGCTTTTTATATCAAAATGTAGAGGAGATCTTCAGCTTTCGAATAATACTCATATATATCTTTTTCTTGATTTCGGTATCTTGAGAAATTTACAGAATAGTAAAAAACGCGCATTCATAACTGGACAATCCAATACAATTAAATAATACAATTAAATAGTACAACTAAATAATACAATTAAATAATACAATTAAATAATACAATTAAATAATACAAATAAATAATGCAATTAAATAATACAAATAAATAATACAATTAAATAATACAATTAATGAAGATCTTTTTATTTTTATGTAATACGTCTCAAATTGCTTTGTTTGACTTCTAACCTTTTAAACTATTGAAGAAATAAAAATTAGAATTCAGTTATTTAACTTTTATGTTAAATAGATAAATAAATAGTTATTTTATCAATTATCCTGCTCTTTTTTGCTGACTCACCCTGGGAGATATCGTACCAGAAGCAGCTCTTCATATTGTCGAATCGCTCGAAGCACGGCAAATAGGTCATGTCGAGCTTTGTGACATTTCCAGGTCGCTAAAATACACAGAAATAGTTGTCAGAACTTTATCTTTGATAATTTCCTTGAGAAGCATTCTGATTTCACTCACTTGATCGCAAAAAGTGAGACATTTCTCTCCAGAGAGCGTTGTCGTCACTCCATTACGCCGACAACAACCGGAGTGGTCTCGACCCTAGAGAAAAATGGGGTAAATTTCAAGAATAATACGAATCCTTATACTGGCTGTTAGCACTGTTAGCACTGTTAGTTTAATTCAAGATTAGTGCAGATACATTGGCTTTAAGAAAATTGAGAAAACGAACCCTCTAACCGGGTTTAGTATTAGGTTGACCGTAAAATAAATGAGCGTTTTCAACTCGAATAATATATATGTCGCAGCCGATTAAGGATTTCAGCCGAAGAAGTCTCAGACTTCTTCGGCTAGCCGATTAAGTCTCAAATTTTTTCGCTAGCGAAACCTTCTTCGGCTAGCCGATTAAGTCTCAAACATGAAATCTTGAGTTATGTATTTACTCAAGTCAATACCACAAACTCAGCTCTCTAAAAGGCGCTTAAAGCTAAAACGCATTCTAAAGAGTGCGATTTTTCATACTGTAACCAAAGGCTTGAAGGGCCCTTTTCGCCATTTTCTATCTGATTCGTCATTTATTTGAAATAGAATTGTTTGTTTTTGTAGTCAATTTGCCCTTTGTTGGTCTCGATAAAACTTATTTCCACTAATCTGTTTATAATCGAACATAACCCCTTATTTCAATCCTATTTTTTCTTTTTGTTACTGTGCATTTTTGTTTAGCTCACTAATTTCTGTTGATCGTTAACCGGCCAAAGGCTCCTGTTTTGCGACTTTCTTGGTTTGTCATTGCCTTTGATCCCATGATTGTGCCCTCTTGATTCAATTCAAGAGGAATAGCACTACAAGTTTTTAGTTTTTGCGCCTTTTGGCTTTTAGGGCGTTTTTGCTTTTGCGCCTTTTTGAGGCTTGGTTTGTGGTATTGACTTGAGTCATAGATTTCATTTTTGAGCTTAATCGGCTAGCCGAAGAGTCTGGTCTTCGGCTGAATCCTATCGGCTTTATAATATTTAAAATCCCATAACTTAATCCAAACAAAACTTTACTAATCGAAATAAGAACCATTACAATTAACACATTTTTGCCAACGAGAAACAAGTTTATTGATGCCGGTAGCATAGAAGTCCGGGCTTCTGGAGGCGATAAAGTCGGCGAAGGCGTTTTTAGAGAAAAATGTTTGAGAAAAATGTACCCAAATAATAAACAATACAAAACGCTCATTTATTTCCGGACAACCTACCGTATTTCTTCGAATAGAAGACCGGGTAAAGAGTATCGTCGCGTACTCCTGCGTAGCAGCCCTTTTTAAAATTTCTTTTCTGCATAAAAGCTTTCAATCAAGTGCTATAGAGCTGGAAAATGGCTCAAAAATTACCACATGTGGTAACAGTTTTTGAGCCATTTTCCAGCTCTATAGCACTTGATTGAAAGCTTTTATGCAGAAAAGAAATTTTAAAAAGGGCTGCTACGCAGGAGTAAACCACGAACCTTTACCCGGTCTTCTATTCGAACAAATACGGTAATAGCTTAAAATTCTGGGGAAATTTGATAAATGTTCTCCACACTGAATAGCTATTTAGTTAAATAACTAATTATTTCCAAATGTTAGAGTTTCTTTTTTTACTTCTAAAGCTCTATTTTTATAGTTTTTATAGTTTTAAGAGTTTTTTCACCTGAGCTGCGCAGAATTGCAACTCGGCAACGGCTTGGATTGGGCAAGAGTCAGTTTTGAAGTACATTGCCTGGAATTTGATGAATTTCAATCAAAATCCTATAAACTTAGGCTTATAGATAAATATTCAAATCTAAATTTTCACTTGTAGCGTCTCTCGGGTGAACGAGCGATAGGTGCACTTGGTAAGGCAAGCGTCGGGGAGAGCCCTGGAATTTCCAAGAAAGGGTTTTTTTTTTGCAAGAATTAGAATAAGCTTTTTAAAGTATCTCATATTTAGATAGATTTCTAACACATCTAAGCTAATGTAATGTAAATAAATTCGAAATTCCCTAGGATATAGCTTTTTTGGAACGCACCGATCCTGGCAACAGGACATGAACTTCTCGTCGGGTGTCATGCTAGCCAATTGTTTCTGAAAACATAGTTCTTTATTGTTCAAGATATAGATTAGATATAGATATTAGATATCTGGATATTTTATAGCTTTTTTTGCTAACAAACCCTTTCTTCGATGGCAAGTGTCTTGCTGCTGCGCGCCTTTGCCCGCACTCGATAACAGCCGAATTGACCGCACGAATAGCCTCGATTGCAACCGCCCATACATGTCTAAAAATAAAATGAATGATGAAATATTACTGTAAATATGTTATAGATATTCTATAACTATAAATATTGCAGAGTGTACTGTACTTTTTGTATTGTAGATGTCTTTTTTTCTCAAGTACACATCATTTTCTGCATTTCTTCATCATTTTCTGCATTTCTTCATCATTTTCTCTTGTCAATGACTTGATGCAATGGTCGCGTCCGTTTCCTTCCTATTTGCGTTGCTATTTTGCAATTATTCGCGTCGCATTTTTCGTCCTTTTTCTCCCTTCCCGAAATTATTTTTTTTTGCCTTCTTTCTTGGGGGACTTGGTTGTCTCTTTTTGATGCGCATGCTGTTTTTTTTAATGGGTATTGTTGCATTTCGGTTCTGTACTAATAAACAGTAACGTTATAAATTCACTTTACTTTATGCTACCCTTCAGGTTTTAAATCCTGTTTAGATAACTGATTTTACTAACATTTGTGTCACCATCGACGTAGTATCAATCTCCGATCTGTACTCTTCTCAAGAGTATTAATCTATTGTTGGATACTACGTGTTCTTGTGACGTTATAAGCGCTTTTGGGGGAAACCCTTTTAACCTTTTGTGCTATTCGGCCATTCTTAAACAGAATCATCCTCGTTGATTAGGTTAAAGCGGGTCGCACCCCAAACTCAATAAATTGAGTGCACCAGAAAGGATTGGCGATAGATAGGCAACAAATTAAGTACGCCAGAAAGGCTGTTTCTACAGTTTTAAGTTCAAAGTACTCTAGTGCGACTAGTAGCAAAATCTGCTTTGGTGCCAAGGTTTAACAAAAAAAAACCCATTTTATCAAGCAACCCCAGCGAATACTTTTGTACATGAAAAAATGTACTTTTGTACATGTACATGTTTTACATGAAAAACCTATATACAAGGGTCACAGACTAAAACTTATCGATAGTAGAAAAACTCACAGGTGGCGGTGGTGGCATACAAGGCGGTGGCCCTCCTCCACAGCAGCCTCCCCCGCAAACTCCAGCCGAGAAACAAGCCTGGCTCATCGTCAGAATCACCGCAAAACAAGCGTACAATAGAAAAGACATGGCTACAGTAATTCAAAAGATTCAGGAAATTTTGCCTCTCCAACCATCCCTCCAGCTTTTATAGTGCGGTGAAACGAGTTTCCCTCACAATCCTCTAAGTGTTTGTACTCCTGAGAGAAAACTCCCGAGGTGTAAGTGAGAGTTGGAAAAAGAGATGCCCTTGAGGTGTGTGAGTCATCTTTTCATGAAGAATTTCTCTTTCATTTGGACAATGATGATTTATGGTTGAAAGGGGATGAACAATGGCATTTTTGTGGAAATCGAGGGGATCAGTGTGGCGGTCATTGCACATTGATATGTGAAAAAGGTTGTTTTACCTTTTCTTTTTACTCTTGAACTAAAAAGAAACTATAGATTGCTCAAGTTTGTGTCAAATAGAAATTACAAATTTGTCGTTATTTTCTGACTTTTATACCGTAATCTAGTTTTTATTTATTTATTTATTTTTTTTGTTTATTTTGCACGTTGACTGATAAGCACATTAATTCCTCTGATTAATGAATTTTCTAAATTTATTCACTTTTAAATACTCTGGTGCTAGCTACTGTAAAATATTTTGTATAAAGTATACCAAAAAATTTCTTTTTAAATATCTTTAGTTTAATTTAAAAGAATTGTCCTTTTCGGTTGTATTTCTATTTATTTCAACATAATCTTTCTTTCGTTCTTTCGTTTTAGAAATTCCAGTCACCTCGATTTCAAATTCTGGCAGTTCTTATTGGAAAAGAGTTATACACAAACTTATCGGAGGTGACTGGAATTTCTAAAACGAAAGAACGAAAGAAAGATTATGTTGAAGTATTAGGTTGGCCGGAAAGTTCTTTTGGTTTTTTGACGCTAGATCTAACTTTTTATTTTACGCATCAAAAACGCCAAACAAAAAAACAGAATTTATCTACTCGAAATATTCACCGTCAACATCAATAACATCCTGCCACTTATCCGGCAACAAATAGATTCCGCAGCGGTAAAACTCACGTGGCTTCGAAGCGAAAAACTGAGTGAGTGACAAGCGCATTTCCTCGACGTTTTGAAAGATCTTTCCACGCAAGGTTGACCGGATAGTTCCTATTTAGTTCCTATTTAGTTCTTTGTTAGTTCCTCTTTAGTTCTTTGTTAGTTCTTATTTAGTTCCTCTTTAGTTCCTATTTAGTTCCTATTTAGTTCCTTTCCGGCCAACCTTGCGTGGAAAGATCTTTCAAAACGTCAAGGAAATGCGCTTGTCACTCACTCAGTTTTTCGATTCGAAGCCACGTGAGTTTTACCGCTGCGGAATCTATTTGTTGCCGGATAAGTGGCAGGATGTTATTGATGTTGACGGTGAATATTTCGAGTAGATAAGTTCTGTTTTTTTATTTGGCGTTTTTGATGCGTAAAATAAAAAGTTAGATCGAAAAACGGAAAGAACTTTCCGGCCAACCTAATATTTCAACATAATCTTTCTTTCGTTCTTTCGTTTTAGAAATTCCAGTCACCTCCAATAAGTTTGTGTATAACTCTTTTTCAATAAGAACTGCCAGAATTTGAAATCGACTCCCCAGAGCTTTGAGAGAGTCCAATAGTCTCGAAACCTTTAAATTATCTGTAGATGATCTTGAGCTTGATCTTGAAGCTCTAGTGGATCCTTGACGTTATCTGTGCTACCCATATATTACATGTATTATATCATGTTGCTTTTTATCGGCCCTTTTCGTGTTATGTGTATGAATTCATGTGTTTTTTTATCTTTATCTACCCGAACTTCAAGGTAGATAAAAGCTTGTCGAATTTTAAGCCAAGAGTTTGCAAAGCTGGATTTTTTTTCCGATTTCACATTTTTGAAAAGACTAGTTTTGAGACCGAGGTCGTCGAATCCTTCAAATGAATACAAATACAGTACATATTTGTCGAGGAGTCTTGGGATCACTGAAAATTTCACGCAAACTTTGCCCTTGCTTTGAGGAGTTTGAAAAAAAACTGGTACAAACTAAAGTATGGACAGTAAAAATGTTGCATGAGGGTAGTTTAGCCAAAATTTCAATGGGTAAGTTAGAGGAAGACGAGTCCAGCAAAAGTTTAGCAAGCTTCCATCCATCAGTCGAAATGCGGAATGGGACAAATGATAGCCTTTTTTAGCGTACCTTTTCGCCCATTATAACAAGGACTGCCCTAAAGCCACAGAACCGTTTTTTAGCTCTACTTGTTCTTTTTCAATTTTATTTTGTTTTTCTGTTGGTGAACTTACTAGAATTGCTTTTTTTTAGTTGCGAATCGACGAATCGACTTCAAGAAGCTCGGAAGATGACACCAACTCGATCAAGGTACACTTTCTTTTTGCGCTTTACGCTTAGAAAGTTGCTTTTGCATCCTATTTAGAATTTATCCTCTCGTTAATGTTCGTTTTTAAAGTTTCATCAGACACGCCTCGATCCAACAGGGATAAAGAAGTGTTTTATGACGCGAGCCGCTTCGAATTTCGGCTTCACAAGAACACTCAGAACAAAGGACCGATTTACAGGTACTAATTTATAGTTTTTCAACTATAAAGTTTGTTTTTCAAATTTTAATTTAAAGTTTATGAAAGTGAAAATTCTTGTTTCTTACAGATGCTTGCAAAAAAATGTGGTCTTCTTGGCAAACACTCAGCTCAAAATGGGTGCATTGTTAGCGAGGGTTTTGTTTGTTTGTTAGCGAGGTGTTGTTGTTTGTTCTTTTTTTATGAATAAAATGTTACCTTTTGATTGATAAAATGCTTTGGAGTAAAAAAGCTACCATCAAGAAAACAGGAAAGCAACAAATACAGTCAAAAAGTCTTTTAACAAAAAGTGCAAGTCTTTTAACACTCAACTTTTAGCACTTACTTCCATTTGCGACTGCTTCGGTGAATTCAAGATGATTTCTTTATCAAGATAATTCGTCAGTACACAAAACCAAAACCAAACTTTCCAGACGCATTCATTTTTGCCGTAACAAGAGAAACTGTTGTGGGCGTACATCCTAAGAGGCGAGCAACGGCTTGTCGTGGCGTTCCTTGTCTCCTTGCCTCGACGGAGTTGACAAATACGCTCCTAGAATCTAAAAAAAATAAATTAGTACCAATAAATATGAAGCGAACAAAAATAATGAAAATTTTTCCAAGTGCTAAAAGACTTTTGCACCACGATTTTTAGGAGTGTTTTAACAATTATATTTTTTTCTCGATGTGTTTTATAGCGATAACGTTTGCGTAAATAAATTGTACATATATTTGTGTAACTAAAACTATTAATGGCTTAAAGAGCGCCCATGAACTTTATCAAAGAAAAATGATGAAACTTTTTCGAAAGAAAATTGAGAGAAGACTTTTGCAACGACGAAAGAAAAGACTTTTGCACATGACCATCATGAAATGAAAGCTACAGACCAATTGCAGGAAAAAAAAAGAAACACAAAAAATCAAGCCAAATGATTCTGTGGCTCTATGGCAGTTCTTGTTATAATGGGCGAAAAAAAAGGTGGCATTTGTCGCACTCCCGTCGAAACTAACTAACTTTTAAGTCGATCAAGAAATTTTGCGATCTACAGTCAATCAACGGCCCGCTACACTGCCATATTATAGGACATGGACAACGTTTAAAACGCTATACTTTAAAACACTAACCCCATTACACAAATGAAGCAAATGAATGAACAAAGTGAGACGCGATTTACGACTGTATACATTTTCATTTGCAAATTTTGTTTCAAATGCAGTTTTTGCAAAATCGTCTTTCAACATTTGCATTTAAAACAAAATCATTTTCAAAGGACCACTTTTTGTTGTCATTTATTTTTTCTACTCGATTTCTAAAAATGCTTGTTCGTATAAACATTCTCGCTGTTTTACTCGTTATACTTGTGAGTTTTTTTTGTGAGAAGATTGATGGAATTGACTCTTTTTTTTTCTTTCAGGCAACCGCCCTCCGATCGTCGTTGGCCGATTCGACTTTCATTTGCAGCTACTCATTGCGATGTCCTCAAAAAAGCACGAATGTGAGTGTTTTTAAAAATTGATTTGAAATCTATGAGCTCACTTGCTGTTTTTTCCTTTTAGAAACAAAAAATTGATAAAAATTTGGGATATATTTTTGGTCTAGAAGCGTATGTTTCTGTATCTCTGTATGTTTCTGTAGGTTTCTGTAGATCTCTGTATGTTTCTGTAGGTTTCTGTATATTTCTGCGGTTTCTGTAGATCTCTGTATGTTTCTGTAGGTTTCTGTAGATCTCTGTATGTTTCTGTAGGTCTCTGTAGATCTCTGTATGTTTCTGTAGGTTTCTGTAGATCTCTGTATGTTTCTGTAGGTTTCTGTATATTTCTGCGGTTTCTGTAGATCTCTGTATGTTTCTGTAGATCTCTGTATGTTTCTGTAGGTTTCTGTAGATCTCTGTATGTTTCTGTAGATCTCTGTAGATCTCTGTATGTTTCTGAGGTTTCTGTAGATCCTGTATGTTTCTGTAGGTTTCTGATATTTCTGCGGTTTCTGTAGATCTCTGTATGTTTCTGTAGATCTCTGTATGTTTCTGTGGTTTCTGTAGATCTCTGTATGTTTCTGTAGATCTCTGTAGATCTCTGTATGTTTCTGTAGGTTTCTGTAGATCTCTGTATGTTTCTGTAGATCTCTGTAGATCTCTGTATGTTTCTGTAGGTTTCTGTAGATCTCTGTATGTTTCTGTAGGTTTCTGTATATTTCTGCGGTTTCTGTAGATCTCTGTATGTTTCTGTAGATCTCTGTATGTTTCTGTAGGTTTCTGTAGATCCTGTATGTTTCGAGATCTCTGTAGATCTCTGTATGTTTCTGTAGGTTTCTGTGATCTCTGTATGTTTCTGTGGTTTCTGTATATTTCTGCGGTTTCTGTAGATCTCTGTATGTTTCTGTAGATCTCTGTATGTTTCTGTAGGTTTCTGTAGATCTCTGTATGTTTCTGTAGATCTCTGTAGATCTCTGTATGTTTCTGTAGGTTTCTGTAGATCTCTGTATGTTTCTGTAGGTTTCTGTAGATCTCTGTATGTTTCTGTAGGTTTCTGTATATTTCTGCGGTTTCTGTAGTCTCTGTATGTTTCTGTGATCTCTGTATGTTTCTGTAGGTTTCTGTAGATCTCTGTATGTTTCTGTAGATCTCTGTAGATCTCTGTATGTTTCTGTGGCTGTGTCTCTGTATGTTTCTGTAGGCTGTTTTCGGTCTGTAGATCCTGTATGTTTCTGTAGATCTCTGTATGTTTCTGTAGGTTTCTGTAGATCTCTGTATGTTTCTGTAGATCTCTGTATGTTTCTGTAGGTTTCTGTAGATCTCTGTATGTTTCTGTAGGTTTCTGTATATTTCTGCGGTTTCTGTAGATCTCTGTATGTTTCTGTAGATCTCTGTATGTTTCTGTAGGTTTCTGTAGATCTCTGTATGTTTCTGTAGATCTCTGTAGATCTCTGTATGTTTCTGTAGGTTTCTGTAGATCTCTGTATGTTTCTGTAGGTTTCTGTATATTTCTGCGGTTTCTGTAGATCTCTGTATGTTCTGTAGATCTCTGTATGTTTCTGTAGGTTTCTGTAGATCTCTGTATGTTTCTGTAGATCTCTGTAGATCTCTGTATGTTTCTGTAGGTTTCTGTAGATCTCTGTATGTTTCTGTAGGTTTCTGTATATTTCTGCGGTTTCTGTAGATCTCTGTATGTTTCTGTAGATCTCTGTATGTTTCTGTAGGTTTCTGTAGTTCTGTATGTTCTAGATCTCTGTATCTCTGTATGTTCTGTAGGTTTCTGTAGCTCTGTATGTTCGATCTCTGTAGATCTCTGATGTTTCTGTGTTCTGTTCTGTATGTTTCTGTAGGTTTCTTTATGCTTTCTGCGGTTTCTGTAGATCTCTGTATGTTTTTGTAGGTTTCTGTGGATCTCTGTATATTTCTGCGGTTTCTGTAGATCTCTGTATGTTTCTTAGGTTTTCTGTGTGTTTCTGTAGGTTCTTTATGCTTTCTTTAGGGCTTCGAGGCACTGTGGCTTGCACGAATACGCGAGATTGAGGGCCTCAAGAAGTACCATAAAATGCAAGTGGCAACGAATGATGAGCACAAGTGCGTTTTATCAAATACGTGAAAATCTTTGCTCCTGGTTATTTATGTAGAAGGATTTATATGCTTTGAACTTGATTAGGTTTTAAGCGCTGCCCCTATAACGCATTGTATATGCCTTTTTAGAAATCCTCCGTATTGGGTGACTCGGCTCCAGATGCAGCATTGTCGTGAACCGTTGATGGGCGTTTTCCTTGACACACCCTCGAAACCTAAACCCGATTGGGAGACACATTGCGCGTGGACAGGTATAAAAATGTTTTAATTGATTTTTACAATTAAAATGCTATAAATAATTGCTATAAATATTATTGCCTTAATTTATGTTTTTTATTAAAGGTGATGGAGAAATGCAAGAATGTGTGTTGGCCCCATCGGGAACCGGCTCGTATAGGTAAATGTTCTGAATTTTAAATTTCTCAGTGCCTTTAGTTTTCTCTCGTCTACCGATTTTTCTGCTCGAATACACGACTTTCGAAAGCACATCGGATGCCCGTCACATCTTGATACGCGCGTTCCTCATGGGCAAGTTTGTTGTGTAAGCATTTTTTTTTTTCTAAAATTCGTTTTAGGTCAGCGAGTTGCACATTTGTACGGAGCGCTGTCATCAAGCCGGCCTATCTACATGGGCTGCATTTTTCTTAATGGTAAATTTTCGAATTTAAAAAATCTTATCAATTTTTGCAGCTTTGCGGCTTTTTGGGTCTTCTATGGAATTGTATAACATTGGAAACATGGATTTTGCACAGGAATCAAAGAAGGTAGTTTTGATTTGGCTCTGTATATTTTTGTTATATGGATTTTTTTAAGGTGGCTCGCAATGAGAGAAGCTAATGAAAACCAAGGATTGCTTGCGGGAAATCAACTGCAGGTTGGCGTTGACCTCTCATTCTTCATACCAATTTCCACCTATAAATTCTTTCCAGGGAGTCATCGTTGCCCAACCTCCACCCAATCGGTCACCATAAGGGTCATTTTGAAAATAAATTGTTTTGCGCAAAAGTCATTTATCTAAAACCACAATCACCATATGGGATCACAGAAAAACAATGGAAACCCAAAAGATAGTCACAAGAACTAGACAATTTAACGGAAATTAACATTTTTTTAAATAAGACAAAATAAAAACTTTAAATTTGAGTAAATCACAATTCGGTGTGGACAGGTTCTGGCTGGTCGGGATTGTTACAAGCTGCGGGCGTTCGGAACACAAACTAAGAAAATATGCGTGAAATTGATAAATTAATAGTAAGAGCTTACCTGATATTCGCATTTTGCGGGCTCCGATGATTCCACTAGTTCGTCAATTTCACCACATTCAATAATCACCTAAGCATGACAGATTAGAATTAAACAAGTATATTGCCTATCGTTGATCCCGTCGACAAATTTTACTTACCTTGGTGCTTCTTTGAGGTCCATTCCAGCATTGCTGACCCTTTTCGTACATTTGCTCGGAGTATTTGCGTGGTTCTTTTCCAGTCCATCCCGTGAAATCTCTGGAATTAATCTTGCTTGCTTCGAAAATAGGTGAATTTACCCAAGTCTAGTTTCCGAGTAACCATTTTTCTCTTTCTGCACGGCTTTGTCAAATGGACATAATTTGTACGTGTACTGATCTTCGTTGTATTCGAAACATTGTCCTAAATAATACATGAAAGTAGCTGTTGGCTTTTAAAGTTTTTCACCTTTGAGAACTGCCCATGCTGCATCATTTCCAAAGTCTTGATTAAGATAAGCTTCAGCATCACTAAATATTTTGTAAACTTTAAGAAAAGAGGCTTTTACTTGATTTGTCTATCCAAATCGGAGACTTTAGAGTTGACTTCTTGCCATTCCTCACGTGCCTTTTCATGTTCTAAAGTTTAAAAATAGACTTTTAACTTCAATGACTAAATTTTTGAACATTTTACCTGATGATAAAGTTTTAATCTCTTCTGGGTAGTCAGGCATTGTTCCATACTCTTCATCATCATTTGCTGGTGGCACATCGAGATGTTTGTCTTCATCTAAAGATAATTCTCTTCATTTGTACCTAGAAAACACTATAAAGCAATCCCGGGCAAAAAAATAAAGGCCCGAATCCCAAAAAAAGGTTAGCGAAACGGTGCCGAAATTCTAAATTTTACAACGAGGATCAACAGGTGGTAGAGGTGGAATGTCGGTGCTTGGAGCAGGAAGTGTTTTCTTATCAGCACCCGATTCTGAATCCTCTGTCTCTTCATACTCATCTTCCTCCACCTCTTCAGCATCCTTATTTTCATCTACAAATGTCTATTAGTAAAGTTAGCAAGTGTTAACCTGCAAAAGCGCCAAAGACTAGCTAAAAAACAAACCGGCCAAAAGGTCGTCTTCTCCTCTGTCAGTTTCTTCATCGCGTTTCTCGTCTTCTATCTATAAATTTCCTCCGAACTAGGTTTTAAGGGAAATAAATACCGCTCTGAGCCTGATCTTGATCGAATCGAACATTTGAGCGTAGAAATGCTCTTTGTCGGCTTCCTCTGTGTTAAACAAAAATGTCTAAACGCAAATTTTTATTCAAAAATCAACAAACAAACCTTTGCTTCCGTTTCATCAACAAGTCCGTCTTTATTAACATCAAAGATTGGATTGTTCGCAAAGTCGTCCAGAGTTAGTCTGAAATGAAACATTGGCGCCTATTTACTTGATCCTACTTTCCGTCAGCATTCAGATCCAATTGAGTGAACATTTCGTCCGATTTCACGCGTTTACGTTGATTTCTTTCATCTAAAATTGAAAATGAACTTTCTAATAGATTAGAGTAATTCCCACCTTCCCACTTCTTCCTGAACTCATCCTTGGCGGTTCGTTCGGCTTCCTCGGTAGCTTTCTTTCTAAAATAATGTTAAACTCATAAAACACTGTTAGAAATACTTTTTCTCAAGTTCATCCCTTGTTGGAACCAAATCATCTCGTTCGGCTGTCAATGGCCCAACTTTGACCTCGTTTTCTGTCTAAAAATATTAATGTGATTGTATTGCAAAAAGGTGCAAAGTTTTATTAAAATATTAACACCTAAGTACACGTCTAAAATGGAAACCCGTAGAAGCAATGGCAAGGGGGGACAAACGAGGAAATTATCATAAACCCCAATTTAGATCAATGTCAGCTTCGTTGAAGACTTTTTGTCCGTGTGCTTCTAGATTTTTGTATCTGAGCCCTCGATGCACCTTGATGTCTTTGCCCTTTCGTGCCATCTCCTGTCGAACGGCCCATCCTTTGCGTGCAACGACAGCCTAAAAATTATTTTGATACGAAAAGTGTTAATATAGTTGATAAAATTGTAAATCAACATTATTGTTAGTTATTAGCAAGCCTCAAAATACCGACCTTTCGTTCGTTCTCTTCACGAGTCGCTTTTCCGAGTTCGTGGCAAATGTTTGGACACTGGACCCCACTTCCCCATTCGTCCGAGCCATCGCAGCAATCTTAAATGGCCAAATTTCAAGAAAATTATATATAGCATAGAAATTAGGTGCCTACTCTAAAATAAAACCTACCACAGATCTTATCGTTCACTCTTGACGACGGGATGAACATCGAAGAATGGCCATCATTTGTGCAGAAAAATCTTCCGTTTGGGCACGCGGATGTACCTGAAAGTAAACTATAAAACTTATCAAGTACAGTATTTTAAAATGCGAAAGAACCTACCAGGCTCATCACTTCCATCCGGGCAGTCACAATAGTCGTCATTGACCTGATCGAATGGGATTTTCAGGCTCCCGTCGAGGCATTTGAATTCCTTGGCAACTTTGTAGAAGCTGCTTTCTAAAAAATACCTTTTCTGTTAAATATGTGACATTCAATCGTTCAGCAGAATAGCATGTATAGTTTATTAGATACAAAACACCGGTATAATATCTTAAAAGCTGTTACAAGTACCATAACCAGCCCAAATATGACATTTAGTTTTCCGTAGCTGCTAAATCAATGGAGCATTTATAACAACATTTGTTAACCAATGTCACCAACAAAAAAATCTAAAATTCACCTGTTATCGGGACTCCTCGGGGTAAATCGGCTGCACAGACGACCGTAAAGCCCAGTAGTAGTAGTAAAGATCTCAGCATCGACTCTAAAATAGTAATTACAAAATTGATAAATAACTTGAAATACAAAAATGTACATGAGTGGAAATAAAATTGAAAAATTAAATTCGTACTCAAAAGAAATATTTAAATTTTAAAAGTTAAATTCACGATGTCTGAATAGTTTTAGAGTTACGGTAGTTCAGACAAATGTTAAATGCAAATTTTTCAGAGTTTGCCACGAATTTACCGTAGCATTAGAGCGTACAAAGGAGTTAGCTTGGCATTTTTATTTTTGTGGATTTGTCTCTGCCTAGGCCGCTTTGTGCTTACTAGGTATTAGTCTACGTAGCACCTACGACGTTTCCCTCTTTACGTTTCCCACATGCCCCTGGGTCGCCATTTTGATCCATATTCAAAAATCTATCATCGCATATCTCAAGCCATTTGTTGCTGCTTTTTCGATTTTCTTTTAATTCTGCAATCTTTTTTAGATCAAAAATGCCCTTGAAGAAGAAATGGGAAATCGGAGACAAACTATTGGCTCACTACCAGGGCGAAGTCTACTATGCCGCCAAGATTGTTGACATTCAGCATGACAAAGATGGCCAAACGCATTACAAGATTCACTACGATGTAAGTAATTTTGAGGATTTTATGAAAATTCGGTACTATGGGATTATATCCCCACTAAGAGTTTCATAACATTAGGAATTAATGCATCAAAAGGATAATACCTATGATAATACCTATGATACCATAGTACCGGAAATTCTTTAATAGAAGTATCGGTAGTTCTAGAAGCGACGCGTGTATCGCTAAATGTATCGTTATTTTTAGGGATGGGGCACTCGATACGATCAAATTTTTTCGGAGGGCGAAATCCAAACAAAGTGGAAAGAATATACTGAGCAAGCGGCCGATGAAGCAAAAGTTAGTTTTTAGTACGCAATGGATTATCAATAACGATTACGAGGGCTAGCCCCATTTTTCGTAAAGTACTTTGTCCTTGATCACTACTTAATATTTATATTTTAGGCATTGCAAAATGCTGCAAAAGGAGGCCGTTCCGGAAGGAAAAAGGATGATGTAAGTGGAGAAATTTATTGTGACTCTATTTTTATCTTTAGACACGCAAAAGTGAAGGGGGAGGTTCAAACAGCCGAGCATCAACCCCATCTCAAACTGGGAGCAAATTGTCGGAGAAGACAACAAAGAACGGTATCAGTGACTTTTCACTTTCAAACACTCAAATTTGAACACACCTTTAGCTCGTCGCTCAGAAGCCGTCCCTGCAGAGCAGCCTATTCCAGACGTCACTCGAACCAGAAAAGAAGTTTGTCACATATTTTTGTCGATCTTAACTTTAATTCAGGTTGTCATCAGTATTCCGGATATTCTGAAGCAGATCATGGTGGACGATTATGATATGGTAAACTGTACTTTAAATAATTGTAATCGAATCGTTTAGGTGACTCGTCAAGGACGCCTACCTTCACTGCCCGCAAAAAACACCGTTGATCAGATTATGAGAGATGTAAGCCTTTCATTTGTTATAATGTTTAATCTATTTTAGTACGTGAAATCTCTTGGGCGTAGTGTCAGTCAGGATGAGCAAGTAAAATTTGAAAATGTTTTATTGGATTAAAGTATATTTAGCTTGTTGTCAATTACAAAGACGGATCACCAGAGGCAACTTTAAGCACCAACAGCAATACGATGATGGATTGTGCTCTCGGGTTGCAGGAATTTTTTGATGTCACTTTTGGGTAAGTTATTTATATTTTAGCAAGTATTCATTTACTCCAGAGCTCACCTCTTGACGAAATTCGAGCGCAATCAGTATGCCAGTATCCTTGAGGATCACAAGGCCAAGCAGATCACTGCACCGGGACCGAAACGCGCTCGTCTGCGCACGGAGACGGGTTTGATTCTGATTTTATTTTTATGAAAATATTTATTTTAGAAATCGAGGAAGGGAAGGCATTCAAACCCTCAGCGTAAGTTTCTAGAAAATTGATTTTCAAAGAAGGGAGTTTTAGAGTTTATGGGCTCGCCCATCTTTTGCGTTTGTTTGTGCGCTTCGGGACGTTGATCCAGTGTGCTCCGTGGGGTGATCGAGCGCTCTCATCGATTGTCAAGTAAAGTCTTTATCAACTATTCACTTATCGAGGAATTGTACCTTTTTTCTAAAATACCCTTTAAAGCACTTATTAAATTAAAAGAAACGCATTTAAGGTATAAAACTATTAGAAAAGCTTTGCAGTTAATTAGCCGAAAAAATTCGTAAATTGTTTTCATCTGGATATTTTAGACACACTCACGATTTCCTCGTATTCCTGGCCAAGAACTGTAACACTTATTATGATCGCGATGCCTACGAAACTCCAGATCCAGCCTATGTGAAAACCGCATATGCATAAGGTGGCTTTGAATAAATTTCAAGACATTTTTCTCTTTTAGATAATCCACTTTTTTGATGCCAGAAATTAACAACGTTTAATTAAATTAAATAGATCGGGATTTTATTTTCGATTAACTTATTCGTGTAACTGTTTTATAAGTTGTTTCCTTAAACATGCTATCTTTTTTCCCCTGTTTTACGAGCTAGCCCATATTTTTGGTTCTATGGTTGTCCATGATCTCCGAATTGTTTATTCTAAAATAAACCTAATGTGAATAAGATAAATCAAATGCCTTTTAGTACACGGATTGCTTGATTTGAAAGATACATGCGTTCAATGATTTTCCAGGAGAAAAGTGAAAGAAACGGATTACCCTGCGATTTTTGTTCACTGCACAAATGACTCATGCGATGTTTCACCCATTCGGTGACAAGGTGCGGATCTCCATAATTGTGATTTCTACTCCAAATCACACAAATGCACCTATAAATACAGCATGAATATGTAGAAATGGAGAATACCGTTGTTTCACGATAAAAAGTTTCATAACAAAAATATTATTGGCATAATCATCAACTTTCTCTCTACCGATCTACCGACTATTTGCGTGTTTATGTGCCTGTCTAGATCACAAACCTGTTTTCCCATGGATTGCGGGAGGATTTTCACCTCTCACCCCGATAATCACTTGTTTTTTTCCAGAGATGTCACTTTTCACCGCCCGGTTTGATCCATTTTTGATCGAGTCTGGGCCGAAATCGTTTTTGTGATCATTAATTGATTTTTTTTTGGAACTTTAAAGCTCACCCAAATTGGTCTCAATTGTTTTCGTTGAATCCAAATTTAAAGATACAGTAATCCAAGTACAGTAAACCTAGTCGCTGATACAATAATTCGAGTTGCAAGTACAATGATTCCCTCAAAGTGATTCTAGTACAGTGATTCAACTCGCCGCTACAGTAATTCCCTTTTTGGTTTCAATTGAAAGTCAATCAGTTGAATACTTTTCATTTGTGACACTGTCATACTGTATCTTTCGTCTAAAACAGGCGCAAACTCAATTTCACATTTCACATTGAAAACACTACTGCAATTTCTTGATTTCAAAGTTCAAAAGGCTATGCCCTGTTTTCAATATTTACTCTCTTCTTGTTCCACTCGTTTCTCGGAAAAAGAAAAATTTGCATACCATCGAAACGAAACATCGACTGTTTGCACGGGAAAACACTTTCCACATTGCACACCAGGGCTGACCCGTTCTCAATGAATACGAGAATCTTTTTGACTTTGATTCTTGGAAAATTGAGGCTTATTTGAAGAAAGCTTTTAGCTTTTGCATCGTTTATTTTTTTTCGTTTGATTTGGTTGATTTGATTTCAAACAATTCAAATAAAGACCGTGACTAAACAATTGTATTATCGAATTTTGAAAAAAAAAGATTTCTAACAAAGCATTCCTACATAACATATGATTTTAGTCATTTTTTTCGGTCTAAACACTGATTCTCATCATTTTTATAAAACATTTTGCTTCAACTTCTCAACTATAAATAGAATGCGATTTTCTAAAACGTGTCAACTTTCTCCGTCTACCGTAATCTTGTCTTTAGTTTTTTTGGCTGTGTCTGTTGGCTACCTATGTGTTGGCTGTGTCTGTTGGCTAACTATGTGTTGGCTGTGTCTGTTGGCTATCTAATTTTTGTATTAAAGAAGAGTAAAAGCGTGGATAGCTTGGATAAAGAGACAAGAATACGGTAGTTGAGAAAATTGATGCATTTTAAAACACTATTGATGGCTTTAAACAATTTGTGTCATTTTGTGTTTCCTCTCTTTTTACAACTCATCATCATCACACAAATTACCCAAAATCGGCCCGGTTTTTTTGTGTGTGTGTGTGTGTCTGTTGGATGGAGCTTGTGTTGCGCGAATTGAGAGACGTTTTGATCTGGGATTTGCTCGGGAGATTGGGGGGAAAATGGATATAAAATATCTATAGAGAGACGCAAATATGCACCCATCACCGTTCGATCGATATCGATGAACTTTTCATTACTTTTCACACTATTTATTCTCAAAACTCTTCCATTTTTAGTTCTATTTAAAGTTTAGTTACTGGTTCCCTTTTATAAATTTCATTTTAATATAAAATTTTTTGATAAAAGAATTGTTTCTTCTAGATAAACTCATCAAAGCTGACGTGTACTTTGTGCTCAAAGATAAACGCCCGCTTTCTGGCACAATAGATCTAGTCTAGAGTTTAAAAATGGAAACACACCCTTTCTAGTTCATAAGTGATGAAGAAGAAGAAGAAGAAGAAGAAGAATGAAGATTTAGTGCATTAGAAAGAGTGCGTTTACAGTTGAGCATAAAGCACACGTGGGAAAAATGATGCTTAAATAATGATAAATTTAAAACCTACCGTAAATATTATAGTAGTACCTCACCGCCCTCGTACAGTCGCGTAGTCGCAAAAGTTTTTTAGTATTTCATTTTTTTTCAAAGCGTCCGTACTTTCAAAAAATGCCGCTTTGGTATCAAAAAATAGCCCTGAATTTCAGCTATTTTTTGATATCTAAGCGCGCATTGTAGCATAAACTAGTGTCGAGAAACACTCGTTCAAAGCTAGACTACGCAACGCTCCGCACCGTCATTATGGGGGTGGGGACTATTACAGTATTTACGGTAGATAGTTTTCAATCAGTCTAGATTTTCACTATTCACTTCAATAAGAAAAGGTAAAATTTTAAGGTCAAAATTTCTAGTAATAAAGAATGGGCTATTCTGGGAAATTTGAGGTCAGATTTGGAATGAGGTATCGGGAAATTACGTCATGAACATTTAAAGGATTTAATAGCAGAAGTATGGCTGAAGATTTCGATTTTCATAGTCAATCTGTATCGTCAAATCATTGTTTTACCATTTACCGTATTTTCTCTAATAGTAGTGTACCATGATCATCGTCTAAATTACTCGAAATCTCAAAAACCGCTTATCAGAACCTATCGATGTGGGGTCGGGAAATGTAGCTGACGATGAGATCTTGTGGGGGATTTGAGGATTTTGAGACAGACGGACAAACAGACGGACAAACAGACGGACAAACAGACGGACAAACAGACGGACAAACAGACGGACAAACAGACTTCTTAGTCGCTTTATATATAGTAGATTTAACTAAGAAATTTGTTCTTAGCCTTGTTTGTCTCACGAAACATTGAGCTAATTGAGAAAGACGAATTCACTTCCCTTTAAACAACAAATTTACCAATTTAACCAAAACCTATTCAGCTTTGTTCAATTGATCAAATTATTCGCAATTCGTAAGATAATTTGTTTATTTCTTTGTTCTCAACAGTACAATCAGTGAATCATTAGATAAACACTTTGGAAAGAATGGGGAAGTAGTCATTTGAGCAAATTTAGCTGAATATTAGCTGAATAGGCTGAATAGCCTATTCAGCTAATATTTCTTTTTTTCTGTTTTCTTTTTTTGTCTGAAGCATAGACATTTGCCAATTTAGCTAAACAAAACCAAACAAATTTCGCTAAATAAAGCGAAACATTCAGTTGGTTTGGCAAGAATTTGATAAACTTGAGAATAAGAAAAGAAAATGATGACTTTAGACATTTGGCTTTGATTCTAGGTTTAATTTTAACTCTATTACATTTTAGAATTCGAAAAACTCGAGTTTTTCGGTGGTTTTCTTTGCTGTTTTTCTCTTAAACAGTTTTTTTTGCTTTGTTTCTGCTCTCTTTCACACAGTTTTTCCTAAAAATAAACATAAACTAAAAATAAAATACCGTATTCTCTCTAATGCGCACTACTATTTTTTCAACCCCCTCTCGAACCGCAATACTATTAGAGAGTGCACTACTATTAGAGAGTGCACTAGTATTAGAGAGTGCAATACTATTAGAGAGTGCACTACTATTAGAGAGTGCACTAGTATTAGAGAGTGCAATACTATTAGAGAGTGCACTACTATTAGAGAGTGCACTAGTATTAGAGAGTGCAATACTATTAGAGAGTGCACTACTATTAGAGAGTGCTATTAAAGAGTGCAATACTATTAGGTTGATGCATAAGTCTTTTCGTTTTTTTCGTACTTCTGTTAAAAAGTAACAAATTCACGAATTAATCTATAGTTTGCTCTATAAAAAAAGTGTTTTTTTGTTCAATTTGCATCTTTTTAAATGAATTTCGGTTCACTTTCAAGCAAATTCGAGAGTGAAAAACGCCTTTTTCGTAAAAATCTATAAAAAACTCTACGGAAAAATTGGCTGAATGAATTTCTCTGAAATTTTGGCGAAATATCAAACGTTTTTTTTCTCTATCTTTTATCTATTGACACGAAGATAGGTTTTCTTTAGCTAAGGTGTCTAAACCGCATCATCGAGTTAGCCCTTTTTGACTACCCGACTTCATACTCTCAAGAAAATCCAGGCATTAAATATTTTTAAACCCGTTTTAATGTTATTTTGCAGAAAAATAATTGCTTTTTCTAATGAAATCAACCGTAGTTTAATTGGTGCATTTGTTGGCTTGAAACGGCAGACGAAAAGGAACGAAAAGACTTATGCATCAACCTAATATTAGAGAGAATACGGTAAACAAACACGAAACTTTATTCGAATTTAAAGAGAATGTAAGCTTTAATGCAAATTTACTCCCCTAACGAACGAACCACAAAATTCTAAACGAAAATTAGAGAATAATGTGTTATTTAGGGTAATTTATGAAAGCTACCCGTAAAATGAAATATATTACCGGGTAGCTTTCGTAAATTACCCTCAGTTTTTGCCTTTTCTATTTCATTTTAATCTGATTCGATTCAAAGCTTGTTTCTTAATTCTTACTTAAACCTTAAACCAAGTTTTTTTGTGCAGCGAAACATTTCCAAAATGATCTCTATGCTCAAATTCAGCTCTTTACTAAGCAAACCCGTTCTATGTCTGTCTCTGTCTGTCTCTGTCCACGAAAAGCTCTGTCTCTGTCTGTCATTTTTGGGGGTTTAATTTCACATTTGATACGGATTTCCCATTTGTTATGGATAAAATTTCCCAATCCCCGTCAAGTTCAGTCTTCTCATTGGCTTTTTAACGCCGATTTTCGCCAGAACAAACAAAAATCCTCGTTTGTATACGTCAATTTGTCCATTTTTGGATTCTCTATGCACACAAATACGACAAAAAAAATATTTATCTAATCTTTTTCGGAAAAACACGATAATATAGATAGATTTTGGGGTATATTTGCTAAAAAAAAGTGCTCAAATTGCTCATTGCAACAAAGTGCTCAATTTTTCATTTCCCAGAAATGATTCAAATGTTTTGTCAAATGTCAAATAAAAGTTTTGTTTTTCATTCTTTTTTTTTTTTAAAATGCAAATTTAATTTGTGTAAATAAGCTTTTAGAAAACAAATTTCTTTCGAAATTTTCAATTTTTTAAAGCCTAAAATCCTTTTAAAGCCTAAAATCCTTTTAAAGCCTAAATCTAGAATGGTGTTAATCGAGTTGAAATCCGATCACAGCTACGAGATTCGAAAAAACGCGCCAAAAGCCACTTTCGACTCGATTCCCTATCAATTGGGTTCGTTTAAGTGAAACGAGAATTGAATGAAGATATCGAAAAGAGAAAATGAGAGGAGATTAAAGCTTGAAAGGCATTTATGGATTGATAGAAGCTTGAGAGAGTAATCAAATCAAGCTACCATAAATACTGTAAATAGTACCCACGCTCTCGTATAGTCGCGTAGTCGCAAAGTTTTTTTAGTATGTAGTATTTTTTCAAAGCGTTCGTGTTTTCAAAAAATAGCCCTGAAGCTCAGCTATTTTTTGATACCTAAGCGCGCATTTTAGCTTGAACCAGTGTCGAGAAAAACGCGTTCAAAGTTAGACTATGCAACACTGCGCACTGTCATTATGACGGTACTATTAGGTAGATACTGTAGGTTACGGTAGGTACTGTAGTTAGATCTATAGCTAGATTTCAGATGACAAGTCGAGTATGAGCACCGTCGACGAGGACAATTTGCCGCCAACGAATTGGCGCAAAATCGGAATCGCCGGCTTGATGTGGTTGGTGTTTTTGCGGGAAAGATTTCGCTTTTAAATGCAAAACGATAAAACCCACTCAAATTTCTCAAATCATATGCAAATTTCCGCTTATCAAACAAATCAACTTTTCCAGGTTCCTTTGCGCCGTCGAGAACACCGTGATTGGCATGAGCGAATGGCCGTATATGCATCAGGTAAGTGTCTTACGAGACCGCAAAAGTCTGGTGGTCCGGTGGTGTAGTGGTGATCACATCTGTCTAACGCACAGAAGGTCGGCGGTTCGATCATTTCATCATTTCACTTTTTCCTTTTCATTTTTCAGCTGCTTTCAGATTGACAAGGCGGCGACAACGCAATTTTTCGGCTTTGTCACATCATCATCGCGAACGGGACACGCGTTCTTTGCGCTCGCCTTTTCCTATTGGGGTTACAAGCTAGGGAAGTGTCGGTGAGTTGAAAGATCCTCAACGAAAAAATGTCAAGTGACTATTAGGTAGGTTACTGTAGGTTACGATAGGTACTGTAGGTTACGGTAGGTACTGTAGGTTACGGTAGGTACTGTAGGTTACGGTAGGTACTGTAGGTTATTTCCATAACCGTTTTTATAAATCCAAAGCTAGTTGATGACTGTGTTTGGTGACTGATTGTCCAGAAAATTTGTGTATTCTATGTAGATCTATTGATTGAATATCTTTTTCCAGCTGGCCATTGATGGTCGGTCGTTTGATGGCGCTTCTCGGTGTATGCATGTATCTCTGCGTCGAGTTTATCCCGGAGAATCGACGCTACTGGATGTTGGCCTGTTATTTTCTTTTTGGAGTCGGATCAAGTGAGTTTTACAGTTGTCAGACTAGAGAAATATGAATTTTGTAAACTAATCTTATTCATTGATCCTATCCAGGCTCAACAACCCTCCTTCGTGGCTATATCGCCGATGTCTCACATCCAAAAGATCGCTCAAGAGCCTATGCTGTGAGCACGGTGGCCCATTTGATCTCGATCGTTTGCGGGCCAAGTAGATAAATCTTTCGGGACTTATATACTATTTCTATTTTAGTAATCCAACTGTGCTTCACTAGGATCAAGTATCCCGGCTACGAGATCATTCCTGGAAAGGTGAGTGAAGCAATAAGGCATAAGACCCTACCTGGATCATGATCTGGTCGACAGCATGCCAAGGAGAATTCAAGCAGTAATTGCGGCTCGCCGAGGACCTACTAAGTATTGATTTTCATAATGTTTTGTCGGTGTAGCTCATTGGTAGACATTCATTCGCCGATCGTAAGCGAGAGGTCGCGGGTTCGAATCCCGGCGCCGACCAGCCGGTAATCCTGGCGCCGACCAGCCGGTAATCCCGGCGCCAAAAGAACCGACGTGTCCAACTGAACAGAGTAAACTTAGGTTAAAATGTCCCACGTCCCAGAAGTCCCAGAAGTCAGATCTGGACCTGACCTGGCCTAGAAAATCCCTGAATTGAAATCAAATAAAATCCAAACTCAGCTCCGTTTCAACATCTACTCAGCACCGATTTCGTGTGCTCTCCTAACGAACATCATTGCCATCTATGTAGTCGCCGTTTTCTGGGTGGAAACCGGAAAGGAAAGACCGCAAAAAGCTAAAAGTGAACAAGAAATTGAGTGATTTGATAACAAAATATTTCAGTTTATTCTCAATCGATAATCGGAAAAGTGAAAGAATTCCTGGGGAGAAAGGATATCAAATGGCCCCTAATCTTGGTGTGTTGGTATCAAAAGATGATGTCACATTTGAGCATTGTCGCCATTGCAACGTAAGTTTTGAGGGTCGGGAAATGGGGAAAGAAACTTGGAACAAATCAAATAGTTTATTGACTATGATACCAGTCTACTTGACGCAATGATATCCATTTCATTCATACACAATGATATCTGTAAAAGTTTAAAGACAAGTACTGTAGTACCATTGTACAGAGTGTCCGGTAGCGACAGCGACGGACAGTCAGACAGACAGACGGACAGACAGACGGACAAGCAGACAGACCGACAGACAGACAAGACAGACGGACGGATAGGCAGACAGACGGATAGGCAGACAGACAGACAGACGGACAGACAGACGGATAGGCAGACAGACGGAGAAGCAGACAGACAAGACAGACGGACAGACAGACGAGATAGCAGACAGAAGACAGACGGACAGACGACGGAGAAGCAGACAGACAAACAACGGACAGACGGGACGGATAGGCAGACACAACAACGAAGACAGAGAAGCAGACGAAAACAGACGACAGACAGACAGACGGACAAGCAGACAGACCGACAGACAGACAAGACAGACGGACGGATAGGCAGACAGACAGACAGACAGACGGACGGACAGGCAGACAGACCGACAGACAGACAAGACAGACGGACAGACAGACGGAGAAGCAGACAGACAAGACAGACGGACAGACAGACAGACAGACAAACGGACAGGGTCTAGAATCTGTTATATTATATACATATATATAAAGATTTCTATATAGTATTCTAGAATCGCCTCCCCATTATTCATGATGGCATTCAATTGGGATGGCCAAAAGACAGTTCTCATCTCATCGATTTCTCATATTTTTGTCGGCGTTTTGAGTATCACCGTCTCGTGTATCTACATTTTTGGAAAGCTTGGCCACTAGTTTGTTTTTTTCGTTTGCAAAAATATTCTTTAAGTACCTAAACTTAAGTGATAGTCTTGCAAAGAAAAAAGAGAAGCCGTTCGTCCCAAAATCGTTTGCAAACTTGAGCAAAGTCCACTTCTACTCCATTTCACTCACTTTATCCTCATAAATCCCCCAAATTGAGTTCAACAGTGAGATCAAAATGAAACCAAAAAAAGAGAGACTTTTGTTTTTACAGTGTATCGGCTCGTTTCTCGTACCTAATTGGTTTGTTAATCTCTGTCCTCCTCTACGTGTTGACCTATCCATGGCCGACTCTCTCGCAACCACTTCCGCTATACAATGGTTGGTTTTGTGGGATGAAAAGTTGAAATGCTAAGGGAATGCTAAGGATGCTAAGGAAATGTTATGGAAATGCTAAGGGAATGCTAAGGAAATGCTAAGGAAATGCTAAGGAAATTCTAAGGAAATTCTAAGGAAATGTTAAGGAAATTCTAAGGAAATTCTAAGGAAATTCTAAGGAAATGCTAGGGAAATGCTATGGAAATGCTATGGGAATGCTAAGGAAATGCTAAGGAAATGCTAAGGGAATGCTAAGGAAATGCTATGGAAATGCTGTAAAGATTTGTAGGAAAAATGAAATGAAAAGAAATATGCTCTTTTTTAGTTGTATAATTTAGCAACAACTGGTTCCGGTTGTGATCCGAACGTCTACTCATGGTGCTTCACCGAGAAAGCCATGCCCGCCGTCTTTTGGATCCCGATTGTGGTGGGTGGATGGAAGAGAGTAAAATCGAGGCTCTAACTTGATCAATACAAAGTCGTATGGCAAATATTTGTAGCCAAGACTAAAACCCTAGGCTTTCTTGAAGTCAATTCGCTTTAAAATGTTCTATTGGTTTAGCCGGAATAGCCGGAAAGCCCGGAAAGAAAATCTCGAAAATCTCTCTTTCAAATTTTCATTTATAAATGAATAATTAGCTGATCAGTTAGCTGATAGTTTTCTTTAAATAAAAATGAATTAACGATTTCATTTAGCTCATTTAGCTCATTTAGCTCATTTTTAAGCAAATTTGAGTCCGTTTAAAGCAACTTTTCATTTTGTTTTTTTCCTAAAATCCTTACAATCGACATAGAATGAAATCGGCTGAATGAATTTCTCTGAAAATTTGTCTATCCACTTAACTTTTCATTCTCTATCTTTTGTCTTTTGATATCAAAATATTGGGTTGTCCAGTTATGAATGCTCGTTTTTTACTATTTTATAAATTTCTCAAGATACCGAAATCAAGAAAAAGATATACAGTAGCGGACATTAACTTACGATATTTTTTCTTCTTATCATAATTTTTTTTCTAAACACGCAAATGAGCTAAAAATCAAACTAATTGTGTAAAAACAATTGTATTTTGATATTCTGAGTTCAAAAACTTAATAGCATTAAAAAAGTTCTTTTTGGAACAAATTTATTAAAACTCGCGACGACATTAACTTACGATATTTTGAAAAAACAAGCTCCAACAAATAAAGCAAAAAAAATTAACAACAGTACTCTGGGTTATCGATAAAAGTTGGGCGATCGTCTCTTGTTTGATCTGTTGCTGGTGAAGTCGCAGCACACCCTCCCGTTTCTCCGTTGACACCTGTTTTCCTCTTCCCATCTCTAAAAATGAAAATAAATAAAGATTAAATTATAAACAAACAAAAAATAAAGTATAGCAAATCAACATAACAAAAATTAGTTCGTTTTTCAAAATATCGTAAGTTAATGTCAGTTAATGTTTTAATAAATTTGTTCCAAAAGAATTTTTTTTAATGCTATTAAGTTTTTGAACTCAGAATATCAAAATACAATTGTTTTTACACAATTAGTTTGATTTTTAGCTCATTTGCGTGTTTATAAAAAAAATTATGATAAGAAGAAAAAATATCGTAAGTTAATGTCCGCTACTGTATATGAGTATTATTCGAAAGCTGAAGATCTCCTCTACATTTTGATATAAAAAGCTTTTGAATTTGTCGAGCTTTTTGGGCAAATTGACTGCACAGAAGAAGAGGTGGCCAAAAAATGGAAAAGGTGCCTTTGGATCAAGTTTTGGCTCCGCTCAAATTGAGTTAACCGTTTGATGTTTGGCCAATAGTTATATCAATACAACTTTTTTAAAAATATAACAATTTCAGAGCATCTTTACTTTTCTTTTCTTTTCTGGGCGGTTATTTTACACCATAAAACTTGAGGAATAGCTAAGCTGGAGTGGGTTTTTTCGAAAACGACTTCTCCCTTTGTGCAGTCAATTTCGCAAAAAGTTGAACAAATTCCAAAGCTTTTTATAATAGGTTGATGCATAAGTCTTTTCGTTTTTTTCGTACTTCTGTTAAAAAGTAACAAATTCACGAATTAATCTATAGTTTGCTCTATAAAAAAAAGTGTTTTTTTGCTCAATTTGCATCTTTTTAAATGAATTTCGGTTCACTTTCAAGCAAATTCGAGAGTGAAAAACGCCTTTTTCGTAAAAATCTATAAAAAACTCTACGGAAAAATTGGCTGAATGAATTTCTCTGAAATTTTGGCGAAATATCAAACGTTTTTTTTCTCTATCTTTTATCTATTGACACGAAGATAGGTTTTCTTTAGCTAAGGTGTCTAAACCGCTCAGGCTCAGGCTCAGGCTTAGGCTGAGGCTTAGCCTGAGCCTGAGCCTGAGCCTGAGCCTAAACCGCATCATCGAGTTAGCCCTTTTTGACTACCCGACTTCATACTCTCAAGAAAATCCAGGCATTAAATATTTTTAAACCCGTTTTAATGTTATTTTGCAGAAAAAAAAATTGGTTTTTCTAATGAAATCAACCGTAGTTTAATTGGTGCATTTGTTGGCTTGAAACGGCAGACGAAAAAGAACAAAAACACTTATGCATCAACCTAATATCAAAATGTAGAGGAGATGTTCAGCTTTCGAATGATATAAAACACTCATATACATCTGTTCGATATCTTGAGAAATTTACAAATATAGTAAAAAAACGCGCATTCATAACTGGACAACCCAATAGATTTGACAAAAAAGTGCTCAAAACGGAGCCTTAAGTTTTATCGTTTTTGACTACTCGATTTCAAACCTTTAAAAAAAAGAATTAATTAACGCAAGGCTTTCAGAATTTCTTAAAGAGCAATTTCTCTGATCAAAAAGTCCTTAAAGTCAAATCTTTTTGTCCTTAAAGTTCCACTTTAAGGACAAAAAGTTCTCAAATTGGAACGTTAAGTTTTAGCATTTTTGATTGCTTGAAAAAAAAAATGAATTAACGCGAGCTTTCCAGAATTTCTTAAAGGATCAATTTGTAAATAAATAATATGACTTTCTGATAAAAGAAACCATAGATTTATTGATTCTTTATTCAGTTCAAAAAGTAACCTTTAAGAAAAGAAAAGCGGACAAGACTTTTCGGGTCAAGACTGATGCCAACATTCCTATATAACAAGTTCTTTCTTAGGTACTTGTGATGGGCGTTGGTCTTCCATTCGCGATGATCTCCATTGATACGATCTACTCAAAAGTGCTCGGCGATGTTGATCAGGTAAAAACAAAAGAAAATTTTGAGAACTATGGGATTATGCTTTTGTTTTAAAACTATGATCACACACTGAAGAGATTTCTTTTAAAATGATCTATCTTTTGCCTTTTGCATCCAAAATAGATTTCTCTGAAAATTCTCTGAAAAAAAAAGTGCTCAAATCGGAATGTGGTTACCGTATTTTCTCTAATAGTAGTGCACCCCGGCGAGCCGAGTTGGTGACTATTTTACGGTTTTGAAGCTTTTGCAGAAGCTCAACACTCAAATCCCCCACTAGATCTCATCATCAGCTACATTTTCCAACCCCAAATGGATAGGTTCTGATAAGCGGTTTTTGAGATTCTCACAAAAGTAGAATGAGCAACACCAAACCAGAGTGTGAGCAGAGTGTGTTCCTTTATCTTGAGAGTTTTCTAAAGCGTGTCTCCTAGGGACAAGGTTAAATAGTTTGTAAAAAAAAGAAATAGAAATCTGATAGGCATGCTTTAAATTGAATAAAGTAAAAACAAGATTCCTGCTTCAAATCGATCAATTCACCGTATTTTCTCTAAGTAGTAGTGTCGAGTTGATCACGATTTTACAGTTTCCAAGCTTTCACAGAATCTCAACACTCAAATCCCCCACAAGATCTCATCGTCAGCTACATTTTCCAACCCCACATCGATAGGTTCTGATAAGCGGTTCTCGAGATTTCGAGCAATTTAGGCGAAGCTTTGGGTACACTACTATTAGAGAGAATACAGTATATGGAAAAAGATCTAAATTTTCTAGCCGCTGGAATCGAACCGTATTGAAGTGTTGAAATCACAAAAGGATTTTGGATTGAGATTAGACAAAAATGTGCATATTTTCTGTGTACATTTAAGTAGGATATCTTTTGCTGATTGCCGTATTCTCTCTAATAGTAGTGCACCCCGAGTAGAGCCGAGTTGATGACTATTTTACGGCTTTCAAAGTTTTTACAGAAGCTCAACATTCAAATCCCCCACAAGATCTCATCGTCAGCTACATTTTCCGACCCCACATCGATAGGTTCTGATAAGCGGTTCTCGAGATTTCGAGCAATTTAGGCGACGCCCAGGGTTCACTACTATTAGAGAAAATAAAATCGTTTTGAAATCTGATAAACTTATTTGAATTTAAACTTTCAGAATGTAATGCAAGGAGTCTACATTTTCATTGAAGATATCATGATGATTGGTGGACCGATTTATGCATCGTGAGTTCTTTAATTCACTGTAATTCACTGAAAAATTCACTGTAATCACTTCTACTAGTAAACGTGGCAATACCGTTTATAATATAATAACTATTGTACAAGTAAAAATTGTATTGTACTAGTAAAAGTTGTACTAGCTGTACTTTCAGGACAATTTTCACGGAGTTTGGCCAGAGTTGGCTCTGGTTTTCGAATGTGATTTTCACGGCGATCGCGATTTTCGTCTGGATCGCTTTTTATCCGATTTTAGCTCCGTACAAGTAGCTATGAGGCCGCCATTTAGGAAACGATTACACTAAATTACTGTAATTTTGACTTTTAAATGTAAATTTTGATCGATTCAAAACAATTGCTTTGTTTATTTTTATTCTCTGTGCAATGTTACGTTTTTGAGCTTTTTATTTTTCACGATTTCTGTCGATTTCCTTGAGAATTACTCTTTACTTTTTTAAACTTTATTTTAACGGGTATCAAAAAACAAAAATGAGATTCGAGATGTGAATAAATTCTTCTGCCTACCGTAATCACAATGATCAAATGAATCAATTTGAATGAATGAATGAATCAATCAAAACGAATCAATCAATCAATCAATCAATCAATCAATCAATCAAAAAGAATCAATCAATCAAAACGAACCAATCAATCAATCAGTCAAACGAACCAATCAATCAATCAGAATCAATCAATCAATCAATCAACCAATCGAATCAATCAATTACCAATCAATCAATCAGAATTAACCAATCAATCAATCAATCAGAACTCAATCAATAATCAAACAAATTAATTAACAAACGAATCAATCAATCAATTATCAATCGAATTAATTCAATTCAATCAATTGCTAAATACAAATCAATCAATCAAATGAATCAATCAATCAATCAGTCAAAACAAATCAATCAATCAAAACAAATCAATCAATCAAAACGAATCAATCAATCAATCAATCAATCAGAATCAATCAATCAATCAGTCAAATCAGTCAAACAAATCAATCAATCAAAACGAATCAATCAATCAATCAATCAGAATCAATCAATCAATCAGTCAAAACAAATCAATCAATCAAAACGAATCAATCAATCAATCAATCAATCAGAATCAATCAATCAATCAAAACGAATCAATCAATCAAAGGCGAATCAATCAATCAATCAATCAATCAACGAATTTGTGGCTGAGTCACTTTAAAGAGTGACTCGTTTACCGTAATCCTTAACTCAGTTAATAGATGCCACAGTATCCCAATAGCTTCTACTGTAGACGTAAAAAAACTACTGTAACATTTGCTAAGTTGTAGATTTTCTAAGTTGAAGTCTACGATTGTAAATGTAAACTAGAAAAAAGCCATCGAGTTTTATAATTTGGATTACGGTAACTGGGCATGCTTTAGAGAGCCTTTGAGTTGGTGAAGTACATACTAGTGTACATACTAGTGTACATACTAGTGTACATACTAGTGTACATACTAGTGTACATACTAGTGTACATACTAGTGTACATACTAGTGTACATACTAGTGTACATACTAGTGTACATACTAGTGTACATACTAGTGTACATACTAGTGTACATACTAGTGTACATACTAGAGTGTGTTCCTCGCGAGTAATGCGTTTTTTAAAACGCACACTTGGGAAAAAATCACCGTACTTTTAGGAAAAATTATCGCAAAAAAAATGACGCAAAAATGACAAGCCCCGCATTATATACGAGACTTTTCAAAGATAAAAGATACTCAGCCGTTTAACTGCTTTGATCGGAAATTCCCATCCAATGTTCCAAAATGATTTTTTTTGAAAAACCTTTTTTGAAAAACAAAAAATTGCTTTTATATTTTTTTCGCGAAGGCGCACTTTTTAGAAAACGCATTACTCGAGCTATTACTCGGGCTATTACTCAACAATTACTCGAGCTATTACTCGAGCTATTACTCATGCAAATTTACTCGAGTAATTGCTTACTCGCGAGGAACACACTCTACTTTAGAGAGCCTATGAGTTGGTGAAAGCTTGAAAAACAAATATTGTGGCCATTGAAATATTGCTGCAAATGAGATTCTGTACAAGAAAAACATTCTACACAAGAATCGTATAAACATTTTAGGGAATAGAATTAGTAAATCGCTTAAAATAAGAACTGAATAGATTAATGGTTATTTACAAACCCGTAGAATTCAATACCAATAATTCCCTAGGTAATTTTTGATGGCTTTTTTTCCTCAGCAACAAGCTCCCAAACCCTCGTCGATCAATGGAGTGCCCGTGAAGAGAAAATAGCCGACTGCTTCGCCGATTACCTGAATAGTTTTCAATCTTTGTGATAAAACAATTTTCATGTACTGTACTCCTTTATTACTATAGAATAGTAATATAGGAATACAGTACCTATACATTTCATGTACTGTACTCCTTTATTACTATAGAATAGCATGATGTACATTTGTTTAGCATGTCCTTTTTAAACGTTTATCAAAAACAAAACTCACCACAGCCAAAATGAGCCAAACATTGAAAGTCATGACGATCAACATGAGCACATAGGCGAGAATCGCTTGGACGCCATAGAGAAGTGCTTGTACGACGCGATAGGCGGTGAACAGGTTACGAGTGGATCTGAAAGATCTAACATCAATCTCAATAACATCAATCCTGAGCCTGAGCCTGAGCCTAAGCCTGAGCCTAAGCCTAAGCCTGAGCCTAAACCTAAGCCTGAGCCTAAGCCTAAGCCTGAGCCTGAGCCTAAGCCTGAGCCAAAAAGCCTGGCCAGCCTAGCCTGGCCTGGCAAGCCTGGCCTAAACAGCCTGGCTGCCAGCCTGAGCCTGAGCCTAAGCCTGAGCCTAAACCTAAGCCTGAGCCTAAGCCTAAGCCTAAGCCTAAGCCTGAGCCTGAGCCTGAGCCAAAGAATTGCTAATATTATTTGAAAACCCCTTGTATTTTATTACTAAAGCAAAAGCAAAATACGAAAGCAAATCTCTTATTCTCACCCGTTTAAGCGCAAAAGTGGAGCGAAAGAGATAGAATGCTCGGAAATGTTATCGCGGGGCTCAGCTGATGGAGAAGCGGGACGATTTCGTAATATGTCTCTAAAATGAGAATAATGTAACAAAAAAAAATAAGAAACTGAAGCCGGGAACGTTAGTTCCGGTGGGTGGGGCAGTATTTTTTTCCCATTCATTCGGGCAACGGAAGTAAGTAGCTGGTAAAATCTTCATAGACAGAATATTCATAGACAGTTTTGATTGAAGCTGATCTGATTTCGGACCTCTTTTGTCGCTCGTGTTGGATGGCGATGAAGAAACGGAAACCCTTAATCGCCTCGTAGAAAATGCACAACATGAAAACGACGACCAACGAGAGGATCAAACCTGGAAAATCATCGTTTTTCACTATCGAATTGAAAGCCTTAAGAAAGCTTTTCTAATCTACAAAAAGGAGCCTTTTTTGGCCCTTTTTGGCCCTTTTTTGGCCTTTTTTTGGGCCTTTTTTTGAAAAACTTTAAGTGACTTTAAGTGACTTTAAGTGAAAAAAACTCTTTTTTCTTTAAGGCAATTTTTTCACTTTTTTTTTGAGAATTTTTTTTTTCTTGGTCCCTATACATTTTAAAAGAAATTTCTTTAGTGTGTAATGATAGTTTTAAAACAAAAGAATAATCCCATAGTTCTTTTTTCACCATCACCATATTTTCCATGATCATGCAATTTTTTGGCATAAAATTAAAACTTTCTACCGATATCGTGGTGTCAGAGTTAAGATGTAAGATTTTTAGCCAAAACACTTTATTTGTTTGTTTGTTGAATTTTGAATTTGTGTAAAATTTAGTTATTTCTATCAAAAACAAAAGCAAGATTTGTCATAGATTCTTGGCCTAAAGAGAAACGCAAGAGCTTAACTAATGTCAAAAGAGATTTGCTATACCGTATTTTCTCTAATATTAGTGTACCCAAAGCTTCGCCTAAATAGCTCGAAATCTCGAAAAGCGCTTATCAGAACCTATCGATGTGGAGTCGGAAAATGTAGCTGATGATGAGACCTTGTGGGGGATTTGAGTGATGAGCTTCTGGGAAAACTTGGAAACTGTAAAATAGTCACCAACTCGGCTCACCGGGAAATATTAGGGAAATAGATCAGTCTGATCTACTAGCCTAATCTGGAATAATATACCGTCTTCTCTCTAATAGTAGTGTACCCAAAGCTTCGCCTAAATAGCTCGAAATCTCGAAAAGCGCTTATCAGAACCTATCGATGTGGGATCGGAAAATGTAGCTGATGATGAGATCTTGTGGGGGATTTGAGTGTTGAGATTCTGCAAAAGTTTGGAAACCGTAAAAACGTCACCAACTCGGCTCGCCGGGGTGCACTACTATTAGAGAAAATAAAGAACCAAATGAAAGAACAAATTTTAATCAGATGAGGGTTATCTATCTATCAGCTTCTCACCAGCCGCCGATCCGGTCTTCCACCACGAAAAGAGGATCTTCTCACGTTCGCCGAAATGAAGAAACATCTTCATCATTTCCATATCGGTCGAGTTGTCGTCCATACACGTCAATCGGATAAGTGATACCTCAAATATTGCACAATATAGAAAATATCAAAGCAAAAAAGAAAGAAAAAAGAAAGAACCAAATGAAAGAACAAATTTTAATCAGATGAGGGTTTTAAAAGGTTTTGAAGAGAACCAATTCAATGTGTTAACTGAATATCTTGAACTGATAAAAATTAGAAATTAGAAATTAAAAATCTTCGAAAAAATTTCCGACAAATTGTGCCCTAAATAATTTCCGTAATTTCCGTATTTTCTGTTGTCGATTTTCAAATAAAAAACAAATAAAAAGCTTCAAAATTTCAAAGTTTCAAATAAAAAGCAAATTTTTAAAAATCCCAAAATGAAAGCGAAATTTTGTTGGCATTTTGCATTTTGCAAAAATCAATTCCACCCACATTCTTTTTTTTTCGTCTTTACCCATTTCATTTCCAGTGATAAGCTTTTGGAAAAAAGGTTAACGGAAAAAGAATTGTCATTGAGGAATGATCAAATCAAATAGGAAACTTGATGGCTTCAATTGAGATTCGATTCAATTTCGATTAGGATTGAATTGAATTGAATTGAAATTGAAGTGGATTTTGTTGGAAAAGATTAACTATAGAGTTTCGAAATGAAATGAAATGAAACAAAACGTCAGCTGCTGCTTGCTGTTCAGATTTTTCTAAATATAATTTGTAAACACTTTTTCTTAATCTTCTTTCTTAAAACTGTGCCATTTAAAAATAGCAAAAGTAACAATGAGAAAATCGACAAGAAGAAAGCTGCTGTGTAGAGCTACAGAAGAAAGCTGCTGTGTAGAGCTGCAGAGGAAAGCTGCTGTGCAGAGCTGCAGAAGAAAGCTGCTGTGTAGAGCTGCAGAAGAAAGCTGCTGTGTAGAGCTGCAGAAGAAAGCTGCTGTATACATGCTTATCACTGGAAATGAAATGGGTAAAGACGAAAAAAAAAGAATATGGGTGGAATTGATTTTTGCAAAATGCAAAATACCAACAAAATTTCGCTTTCATTTTGGGATTTTTTTTTTATTTGAAACTTTGAAATTTTGAAGCTTTTTATTTGCTTTCTATTTGAAAATCGACAAAAGAAATTACGGAAATTATTTAAAGCAGAATTTGTTGGAAATTTTTTGAATCCTTTAAAACAAAATGTATTCCCAGTGTTGTAGAAGAACACAGCCTAATTGAAGGTAAAAATATTCAAAAAATAAAAGAGCCGAAAACAGTAAAAATGGGCCAGTCGCGCAGTTCGATTGGAGAAAAAAGGATCACCTATCTATCGGGGGTGGATGCCAGACGGCAATCGATTACGCGCCCGCACAAAGAACACCTCTCTGAATCGTTTCCAATCATTCTTTTGCTTTGTAGATGGTCTAAAAAGAAGATATTCAACTGTAAATTTGTGCCCAGGTGTTGGTGTTGGAACGTAGTTGGAACGTTGGAACGGTGTTGTGCCTAGGTGTTGCCTAGGTGTTGGAACGTAAATTTGTGCCTAGGTGTTGCCTAGGTGTTGGAACAATTGGAGATATTCATTTCTTTGAGTCTACTAATTGGAACTCGGGTTTCATCCTTCTGAAGCAAACAAAAAAACACACGAAATCCGTTTTCTGTGAATCTTTGTTGATTAAACAAGCAGTAAAGTGAGATAAACAGTTATTTCAGCATCTCATTTATTGATTTTCTAAGAATTATATGATCAATCAAATCAAGCCCTATTTAGTATCATTCAAAAGTCTAAAGCCTCCATAAAACTAGAAAAAAAGTTAACAATACTATTAACAATACTATTAACAATACAATATCTCTAGTCAACGTTATGTACAGTTACTTCTTTTAAACCTTCAAAGTACAGTTACTTATTTTAAACCTTCAAAGTACAGTTACTTATTTTAAAAAAAACCCCTGAATAAAGGACAAGAGCCAATTTTTTATTTTCAGCTTCAAAAGTAAGCTAAAGCTAACAGTAAACTGTGTCAAATCGATATGAAAAAGCGATTGTGCAAATCAAAAAAAAAAAGCGCAATCAGATCCATGAGGTCAATGTTTAAACGAATGAGAAAGGAAATGGGGGAAAAGAAAACGCGTGAATGGCAAAAAGATTGGAGAGATGAGAGAAAAATTGGGGAAACTTTCGCGGGGAAAGGGAAAGGGCCACTCCCTCTGTGCACAGCTCTGGAATCAAGGGGGAAAGTGCTCGACTTGTATTGACATTTCTAACCAAAAAAGAAATAAAGACTCATGCATCAAAAAAAGCTTTACTGACTTTGAGAATAGAAGATGTACCAGACATCTTTATGCCTTCAAGTCTTAAACTATCGCTATCTTGACTATGCTTTATTATATTTCATTCGAAAGCTCCGAATCAAGGCTTCAAGCTTCTTCAAGAAAGGCTTCAAGACTTCAAGAAAGGCTTCAAGACTTCAAGAAAGGCTTCAAGACTTCAAGAAAGGCTTCAAGACTTCAAGAAAGGCTTCAAGACTTCAAGAAAGGCTTCAAGACTTCAAGAAAGGCTTCAAGACTTCAAGAAAGGCTTCAAGACTTCAAGAAAGGCTTCAAGGCTTCAAGAAAGGCTTCAAGGCTTCAAGAAAGGCTTCAAGGCTTCAAGAAAGGCTTCAAGGCTTCAAGAAAGGCTTCAAGGCTTCAAGAAAGGCTTCAAGCTTCTTCAAAATGTTTCCAAATTTATTCAAAAGTTTAGACCTTTAAAACCGAGTTCCAATTGGTAAATTTGATAAAATGAATAGCTCGAATCGATTCGTCGACCCCGAAAACCCTTGGGTGCAAATTTACAGCTGAAAGTCTTCTTTTTAAACCATCTACAAAAGAAAAGAGAAATCCCTTAAATGACTGGTGAGGCATTCTTTGAGCGCACGTGTAATCGCTCGCCGTCTGGCACACGTCCCCAATAGGTGTTCCCTGGATCCGCACCACAAAGGAGTGCGCAGCGACTGAGCCGGTTTTCCCATTTGCTGCGTCACTATGCCCAAATTTCTAGGATCAATTCACCTCAATTCTTTCTGTTTTTGCTACAAAACTAGGAGAACAGTGCATTTTGTTTTAAGGCAAAGTTTTCTATTTTTAGCGTGTAAACAGAAGCGTTTCTCCCCCTTCTCTGCCCGATTTCCTCACTGTTTACAACTTTTACGATTTTTGAAAGGCCAATACAAGTAAAACTCTTTTTCGTAAAAACATACCACGTAAAAACATCAAAATTTCAATGAACTTTTCGCGATAAATTAGAAATTTGGTTTTGAATTGAAAGTTTAAAGGACTAATGAGAATTTTGATTAAATCATCATTTATCAAAAGTTCTAGTTTTTATTTATGATATTTTCCACTAGAGCTTCTCCTCCCCAGAGTTTTGAGAGAGTCCAATAGTCTCGAAACCTTTAAATTATCTGTAGATGATCTTGAGCTTGATCTTGAAGCTCTAGTGGATCCTTGACGTTATCTGTGCTACTCATACATTACATGTATTATATCGTGCTTCTTTTCATCGACCCTTTTCGTGTTATTTGTATGAATTCATGTGTTTTAATCTTAAATCTAGCGCACTTTATCTCAGATCCTGAATAAAGTATCTACATATATATATATGTCGTAGCCGATTATGAATGAAATTTTTTGGCAAATCTTTCTAGTAGAGCAATCCTTTAATGTATGACGACAATATTATATCATCTTGTAGCGAATTAAATTCTGCGTCGATTGGTACCAAATTTGTGAGTTTAGGTTAAAAATTGCTGGCGCTACAACGTTTCATTCAAAATCGGCGGGACCCCCGTAGCCGATTATGAATTTATTTCAGCCGATTATGAATGAGTGGGTCCGGACGCGTCCAACCATCAACTATCTGGTATCATTCAACGCAGAATCATTGATAATTATGTTAACTTTTTAAAATTAGCAAGATTTGATGAAAAGAAAAAAAATTAGAGCAAAAAAGCTGTTTGTTCAAGAGAAAACTTTGAAGCTCCATAATTTGTGTTCTTTTTATCCAATCTTTCAAATTTAAAAGATTTAACATAATTATCAATGATTCTGCGTTGAATGATACTAAATACTTGATGGTTGGACGCTCCTAGACTCACTCATTCATAATCGGCTACGACATATATATATGTTGTGTCCGATTTAGATTTCCGTCCGATTTAGATTCAATCTAAATTTTATATAGATTGAACAATAATACAGTGCGTTTCAAATTCTTAAACGCACCCTCTAAAATAGCTAATTTTGTACTTTGACCACCTCTACAACTATTAATCTTTTTTCTATTAGAAAGAGCATGTCTTAAAACCTAAATAACACGAAAAATAAGCATACTGTAAAAAACAAAAATTTTCAAAATAGAAACTTTTTGCTAAATCAACCGTTTCAAATTCTTAAACGCACCCGCCTTTGCTGTTGTTATTTGAAATTTTTCGTTTTGTTGTGCATATTTTTTTATTAAATTTATAATTTTTGTTAATTTCCAGATAAATGGCACACGGAAAGCTGCTCACGGATTATGAGAAAGGCCAGATTGATGCCCATTTGAGGATTGGCGACTCAAAAAGGAAAATCGCAAAAAATTTGGGCCGATCCGACTCTGTCGTGCGAAATTATATAAAGTCCGAGTTCGTTTCTACACCAATGAAGAAGTCAGGACCAAAACCAAAGCTTACACCGCGGGCTAGACCCCATATTGTGAACAACATCCACGGAAAAACGATCAATGAAGTGAAAACGCAACGGAAAATCGACTCTTCGAAGTCGACAATTTGGCGAGCCATCAAGGAAAAACGCACATATCGATCGACAATTATTGAACATCCAACCGATCGTGAAGCTTTTGCACAAGAAAGCCCGATTGGCCTTCGCCAAGACTCATATGAATCAGAATTGGTCTATGGTTGGAAAGCCGCTTATGTTTTATAATTTTTTTGCGTTTAGGTGATCTTTTCCGATGAGAAGAAATGGAATTTGGATGGCCCCGATGGCGTTGGCTACTATTGGAGGGAACTTCGACGTGATCCGATGGTGTTTGGAACTCGAAACTTTGGCGGTGGTCCTGTGATGGTTTGGGCCGCCTTTTGTGCTGATGGAACGGTCGCTCTGAAGATGGTTTCGAATCGGATGACTAGATAGACATCTTGAACAATTGCTTGTCGCCGTTTTCGCTCCTAAATCAAGCCGTTCCCGATTTGTTTCAATACGACAACGCGTCAGTTCATCGAGCCGGAGATACCCAAGACTGGTTGAAAAACAACAACATTGCAACTTTGGACTGGCCCGCTCAGTCTCCTGACCTCAATCCGAGAGAAAATTTATGGGGAATACTTGTCCGAGATGTCTACAAGAATCATCGTCAGTCTCAAGACGTTTCTACACTTAAAACAGCAATTTTTTTGGCCTGGCGCAATCTCGACGTCTCTGCTCTTCAAAACCTCATCAATTCAATGCCAGACCGCATTTTTCAAGTAATTAATCGTTCTGGTGCGTGTACAGATTATTAGTTTTTATTTTTTACCTTTGATTTTTAATTTGTGTCGATAAATAAAAATGTTTTCATAGTGCGTTTAAGAATTTGAAACGGTTGATTTAGCAAAAAGTTTCTATTTTGAAAATTTTTGTTTTTTACAGTATGCTTATTTTTCGTGTTATTTAGGTTTTAAGACATGCTCTTTCTAATAGAAAAAAGATTAATAGTTGTAGAGGTGGTCAAAATGCAAAATTCGCTATTTTAGAGGGTGCGTTTAAGAATTTGAAACGCACTGTATAAACATGCTTAATATATGTTCTTAAGCGTTTTTGCAATTTTCTGCGCTTTTCAAGGAAATTTTATTGTCTTTTTCTGAAAAGAAAACCCAACTATGAAACAATTTATTAGCGTTAACAGAATAGATGCAAAATTACAACATATAACAACAAAAAACTAACAACAACAACGAACGAGTTAAAAATTTCTATTTATTTTTGCAGCTTAGGCTATTGTGACATCTTGAATTCTTTGAAAAGCGCAGAAAATTGCAAAAAAACGCTTAAGAACATATATTAAGCACGTTTATTATTGTTCGATCTGTATCGGACGTCCGATATAGACTGTAATCAATAAAAGACCTTTGAAAAATGCAGAAAACGCTTAAGAACATATATTAAGCATGTTTATATTATTGTTCAATCTATACAAGACGTATTATTGTTCAATCTATATAAGATTTAGATTGAATCTAAATCGGACGTCCGATATAGACTGTAATCTAAATCGGACGTCCGCGATAAGTTCAATCTAAATCGAACGTCCGATTTAGATTGAATCTAAATCGGACACAACATATATATGTATATTCAGTTTTGTATTTTATTTTGCATTTTTTCATTATTTATTCACACCACACACACATTAAAATTATGTACAACGCAAAAAGGAAAGAGGGAAAAATTTGTGGAAACTACGAAAAAAAAAGCGATCATACAGCTAGGCTGAATATTTTTTGTTGAAAGAGTGAGAAAAAAGAAAAAAAGAAAAACGAAAAAGAAATTTTCATGAAGACACTTTATGAAGAGAAATCGTGAATGACTACGATAGAATGGAAATCACTGACAGAAAATCCTATATAAGAATAGACAAATGAAAAAAAACTACCGTATCCAATACAGTAATCATTTTGGCGAAAGTGTATTTGATAATTGATAAGAAAAAGAAAAGATTACCTGATAGAAAAAAAGAGAGATTAGTGATGAGAATGATTTAAATTACAATTACAATTACAATTACAATTACAATTACAATTGCAATTACAATTAATTACAAAATGATTTAAATTGAAAATTTTTTAAATATTCCGATAAAACAGGAAGCTTTTATTCTTTTTCTACAGCGCTTTAGGAACAAAATTTGCATATTTGGCTTACTGAAGATAAAGTTTAGTGCAAAATAGAAAATGATCAAGGATTGGTACGGTCGAAAAGACATTTGAGATGTTTTTTGAAAGGCGCGAATATCCAGCTGCTTGACTACCGTACTCTAGTTGTTGCTAGCTACCGTAATCCAGTTGTATCTAACTACTTTTTAGGAAAAAAATAGGTCTTTTGCTACCGTAACCTAAGCCGATCAAGCTCAAGATAGTTTCTTCTTTTAGAGCTTCTTTTAGAGCTTCTTTTAGAGCTTCTTTTAGAGCTTCTTTTAGAGCTTCTTTTAGAGCATCTTTTAGATTTTCTTTTAGAGCCTCTTTTAGAGCTTCTTTTAGAAAATAGCAAAAGAACTAGTAAAAGCTGGATTTCGATTTCGATTTTGCACTAACTTCATTTCTAAGCAAGCCCAAAATTAGACGATTGAATGATCCTCGACATTGATCACTTCAAAATCTGATCCCTCCGTTTCCGAGGAATCCGAATCCTCGTGTGCATCCGTGAAATCATCATCATCATCATCATCCGATGATTCGGATTGAGTCTAGAATATTGAGTTCAAGATTTTTTGAATTCAAAATTCATCCCAGAGACAACGAAACTCACCTCATCTTCCTCCAGGAATTCCATATCAGCTGGAATGGGGCAACCGTGTGGTTCATCATCCTGGAATCACATTCGTTTCCGAATTTCTCTTGTAACTTGTAACTCGAATCCTTTTCAAAACCCACCAAGCCAGACTCCCACGTGTTCTCATCCTTGACAATCATCCTTGATTGAGGGGAATTCTGTGTGAGATCCATATCCGGTTCGGTTTCTTCATCCACCTCATCAGCCACCTCTTCGACGATGATCTGCGCGGAAGCGGTGGCTCGGATGGGCATCGTTGTTTGCACCTCAACGCTGATCGGTACCTAGATTCAAAGTTATCTTTTTTCAATCAAAATTTATCTTTAGAAGTGTGATCTTAAAGATACTATTAGCTCAATTAATATACAGTACTGGACAATGAAATATCATATTTGAAAAACGATCGTCACTTTCGCGCCTCTGTAGCTCCCTTGTCTTTGAGTTTAAACTATTAGTGTTATACATTTTCTGAAAGCTCTTTTCAAGGGCTACACAATGGTAATATTAATATTTAGAAATATGATATTTTTTGACGCATTTCAGCGCGCACAAGATGGGATACTCAAAATTGTTGATTTTCAAAGCCGTTTTTCTTTATGATAGAGTGCTGGAATCGCTCTGAAACTATGATTTTCGGAATCTACGCAAAAATTTACCTTAGAATCATCAAAATTTGTAAAATTGTATCACAGTTTCATAGCGAAAAAAACCACATTTGCGAAATTTCCACTTCTTGAGCGGTTCTTCACAAAAATTGTGTTGCGTGCAACTTTGAGTGTTTTTCTTTCTTTGCCTTGGGTAAAATGATAATAATTACTGTTTTTAGGAGCAATGGAAAAGCAACGGCATGCAAGGATCTTCATGTGCATACACAACAAGAAATCCTTAACGGCAAAAGCAAGGTCTTAGCCAGAACCAGTTATCGGAACAGTTTACCGTCTCTCAGTCAACCATCTCCAGATTTCTATAACGATCTAAAGTTCGAAAAGTCGAAACTTGAGCGACGAACTAAGAATCTCAAGCCGGCAATGCCGATGAGAGGTTTGCACAATTGGAGCAGGCTTGGAATTCAATCGCCGTCAGCTTCATCACTAATCTTCTTGATTCAATGCCTCGGCGATGTCAAGCTGTAATCGACGCTAAAGGATTTTGCTACTAAATACTGAAAGCCCATTGTGTGCTCTGGGGTTTTCTCATTATTGTTACTGTTTTTGTTACTTTTAATTTAACTACATTTTTGTTAAATATTTGTTTTCCAGCTTCTTCCTCGTGACCGCTCAAGAAGTGAGAATTTCGCAAATGTGTTTTTTTTCGCTATGAAACTGTGATACAATTTTACAAATTTTGATGATTCTAAGGTAAATTTTTGCGTAGATTCCGAAAATCATAGTTTCAAAGCGATTCCAGCACTCTATCATAAAGAAAAACGGCTTTGAAAATCAACAATTTTGAGTATCCCATCTTGTGCGCGCTGAAATGCGTCAAAAAATATCATATTTCTAAATATTAATATTACCATTGTGTAGCCCTTGAAAAGAGCTTTCAGAAAATGTATAACACTAATAGTTTAAACTCAAAGACAAGGGAGTTACAGAGGCGCGAAAGTGACGATCGTTTTTCAAATATGATATTTCATTGTCCAGTACTGTATCTTTTCTTTCCTCACTACAGTATCCCAGATGACGGTATTTTGAAGATGATAAGACAAGAATGTCTTCCATTTTAGTCAAGCCTAGAAGCAGTAACTTGAGACCGACATACTTCAGAATAATGTAGATGTAGAATACACAAAATACAGTTACGCTAAAGTAGCCTCGCTTACGCTAACGATTATTTCAAAACAACAATAAAGTACATAAAAATATAAAGCTCAAAATCAGCTGACAACCAGGGTAGTTGTCGACTCGGAATATTGGGCCTGCTTAATACGCAGCTAGTCTTTTTTTCTGTATTCATGATGCTACTGAATGAATGTCATGGATACCTGTTGTTTCTTCAGCTGTGCATCGGCCTGAGCAGCCTGGGCAGCCTGAGCAGCCTGGGTGGCTTGAGCCTGGATGACAACGGGCGATGGAGCTGGTGAGGAAGCCGCTTTGTTAGCGGGTTCAGCCTAGAGACAAATGTTTTATAAATTTACTCAACTATATAATAATTAAAGTTACTGTAAGGTCTAGTCTAAAGGGTGTTCGAAAAAAAAATGAGTTCAGCTCGATTTTTCTCCGAATTTCTGGTGACTCTTGGGGGTTGTTGTGGTGCCAAAGTGATCCAAACAGCCAAACAGAAAGCCAAAGACAGATTATCATATAATGTAGAAGTATTCATCTGCTTTATATGATAATCTGTCGTACAAAAGAGATTTTCAAGTCGACTTTTTTTAAAGGAAATGTTCCGTTTTTCCAAGGAAACGCTGATCAATAGTGTATAGATAAAATTTGTATTAGATTGTTGCATCAATTTTTGTTTTCCAAATCTTTTTTAAATGCCGTTACCAACAGAATTTCTATTTGAACTTTAAAAAAAGCTTGATTGTTTCTCTACAAAATATCTTTTGGGAACTTCTTGGAAGTAGTTGTTTTTGTGGATTTTTAAATGCACAAATGTCAACACCCAAAAAACTCCACCGATGCTGAAGTCACAAATTTAGATTTTGAAGATAAGACTCTTTCATTTTAGACTGACTCTTTCATTTTAGCCAAATCTAGCATACTGTAGAATAAACACAATATAGTGCAACGCAGACTACAGTATCCTAAAGCTCTAAAGCTTGAGAAAGCAACTTATTTTTGAAAGTATTTGAAAGTAACTAGAGTTTTCTTTTATGATTTTTAACTAACATCAATCATTCCCGAACTCACCGTATCTCCACGACAATTGCACTTGCAACCGCAATGACGAGTCTCTTGGCTCAACGACTCGTAAGCATCGAGACGGATCTTGAATGGCAACGGGGTCGGCAAGAGGAGTTCAGCCTGAAAAGTCTGGGCTACTGTAATTGGATTCTCATTGAGTCAAAAATTAAGTGTCTAAAAGCTTAAAATAACCCAGCTCGTCTACAGTAATTTCACCCAACCCCCAAAGTAACGCAAATCAAGCTGTAGAGAATGTAGAAAGCAGGCAGAGAGGCAAGTACCATGATCTGGCAAGTGTGTCAGATCGTGAGCGATTACGCGCACGAACAAAGAACATTTTGAGCGCTTTTACGGTTTTTCTTTTGCTTTTTAGATGGTTTTAAAAAGAAGCTTTTCAACTGTAAATTTGTGCCCGGGTGTTTTCGGGGTCGGTGAATCGATTGGAGTTATTTATTTCATTGAGTCGACTCGGGGAGTTTAATCACAATCAAACCCAATCTTCTATTCAAGTCACCTCTTCAATTCCACTGTCGATCTGCCGGGCCACACACTCGCCCTCAGTCTCAACAACGGTTTCCACCACAGCATTCATCTCGATTTTTGGATCGGTTTCAAATTGATCAAAGTCCTGTAATATTTAGATATAGTTAGAGAAGATAACGGTAGCTAGCTAGCTAGCTACAGATTACAGCTTGGCGTACCTGCTCAATTCCGAGTGAGATTTGCTTTTCGGCGAGTTTCATCTCATTTCGAGTGCTCACCTGAAAACGAAAATTAGCATATGAAAATTGTTTATTTGCAAAAAAAAGGCTTAAGTACAATATTTTTTCTTAATAATTACCAATTTAGCGAAAAAGGCGGCCAACGGCGTCTGCTCGGGTTGAGCTGTGTGAGTCGAGGCGAAAATCTCCTCGTTGGCAAAAGTCTGAAAATCATTTTTGATGTTTTTAAAAGTTGTAGAAATAAAATTTGATCTATATTCTATATATGAAAATCGAATAAATTTCTCATAGATAACCTCATCATTGTTTCCTATGGCAGTGTGCACAGAGCACGCCATCATTGGGGCGGTTTCCTGAAAGTTTCCAGTTAAAGATCGAAATAATCCTTATTATCTAATCTAATAGCTGAATAGTTTCTTATTTTTTTTAATATAAAAAGTTATCTTTCTGTGAACTACGGTAGTCTAACTATAAGATCTATTAAACTTATCGTATTTCCTCTAGCGCCCCCCCCCCTCGACCAACTTTAAACGCCTCGTTCTCAGCCGCACTTTGAGATACTTTTATGTTTAATATGTCAAAAAAATAGCCCTTAATGTCTTCTATCTTTTGGTATATTAAACATAAAAATATCTCAAAATGCGGCTGAGAACGAGGCGTTTAAAGTTGGTCGAGGGGGGCGCTTAGAGGAAATACGGTATAATAGCTATAGTATCTTAATAGTGCTATAATTTTAAGTTACAATACCCTGTGTGCATACGGACTACAGTACCTTGCAGCTACATTATTTTTTCAAAAAATCAAACCTCGATTATAGCGGTATGAGTTGAGGCAAACATCTCCTCACCACCGACAGCTGTGTGAACTGAAGTGGTCAAAGGAAGAGGAGCCTAAATCGATCTTTCTAGTAAAGCTTTTTAAGTCACAAACTTTATCAGCGTACAGTAGCGCTTTATTAGATTACGGTAGACTCAAATAAACTCACCTCATTGACAGCAATAGCTGTGTGAACCGAGCAGCTCATCAGCGGGGTTGTCTCCTAAAAAGATAAAGATGTTAGAATGGATGAGGAAATGGTAGATAACGAATTGTGATATTTTCTTTAAAAATCATTCACCTCATTTGAAACCGAATGAGTCGAGATGAGGGTTTCATCAGTGGAAACGACCGTTTCAACTCGAGTCGCCACAAGGGGAGTCTGTAAAGAAGCATTATCGTTTTTCATTTAGCACATTCGGTCGTTTGGTTTTTAAAATCCATAAGACTATATAAGTATTGTATCTATTCCAATAAACACACTCTCTATTAAATATTATTCGTCAAACTCTTGAAAATTTGAGTCTAAGATAGCTAAGCTGACAATAACCCATTGAAATAGATACATTAAATAATTGCTGGCTTAGGTATACGGTAGAAAAAATGAAAGCAAACAGTGATAGCATCATGGCTGACTGGCTAAGAGTCCTTTATCTTAGTTGGGAAATCAAGGGTTCGATCCCGACAGCTAGAAGTTTTTTTTTCTATATTTAGGGCTTAGATTTTCTATATTTAGGGCTTTTTTCTATATTTAGGCGTGCTTTTGTACTGTTTTTATCACATTATTTGTGTGAATAAATGTATTTTTCAAAAAAAAATACCTCATTGACGTCGATTGCCGTGTGCACAGACGAGGACATCGGAAGAGCGATCGGATAATATTGATCAGCTTTTCTCTGATACTCGATCGCTTCTCGTTTCGTTGTGCCAAGAGCTGGTGGGATTGGGGATGAGCTGAGACGAGATTGCTGGAAATCCTTTTTTACAATATATTTATATCCATTAAGGAATTCATGATTCAGTAGAATGCCTGAATAACAAAGAAATAGTATCTGACTCTTTTGGTGTTCTAAGGTAAGTTCTCTTGAAAAGTTGAGTATAGCTTAATACGATATTTTTTCCCCGATATCTCACCTGTTCCTCAACCCATTTCGAGATCGGATCCATCTCCGGCAACTTTGGCTCAATCTTTAACGGTTCACAGTTCACTTTGATTGGCTCATCGAGGAAAAGTGCCTCGTGAGGTTCCTCGACGATTCCCTCGGTGAATTTCTCGAGTTTCGAGGACACCTAGAGAAATTAAAAGAATTAAAAAGTCTTAGAAAAATGTAGTTTTTTTATCTTAAAACTTTCCACTAGTTTACCTCTTCATCAGCTTCAGGCAAAGCGAACTTCGAGGCAGCAATCAAGTGCAAATATGGAGAGATCACCTGACCAGTTGGGCTCTCCAAGACGTAAGAGGCGAAAGCAGCCTGAGAACTTGAGATATGTAAAAATTTATAGAAAAATCAATTCTTTTAAAATTTTTAACTATTTTACAGTATGACTTTGACCAATTTGCTCCTATTAAGTCAAAAGCTTTACAATCTCATCCTTGCTCGCGTGAATGTAAAGGAAACAATCGGGGAACATGATTAGAAATAAATACTTTAAAGATAAAGAGCTTGAAATAGATAGATCTTTATAGATAAAGAGCTTGAAATCCTTAAATTCGATAGTACAGGGAGAGGGGTCAGTCAGCTGAGTGTGGGTTCTGTTTGAAATGAGAAATGAGTACGGAGCGGCTGTCCGCCTTTCAGTCTATCCAAGTCCACCAAAATATCCCCTTTCTCTATATCCTTTTTTTTCTGCTTTTCACATCTTTAGTGATCATATGAGTATCGGGAAAAACCCCCTTTTCGAATCTCTTCGATCAAAGAAACAACCAGGAAGAGATGGGGGGTGAGAAAGTTGGACTCAAAAGTTGTCTAAGTTTAACTCTAGATTTGCCATTTGTTTAGTACTAAAAGCATGAATATAGGTCAAGAAAATATGCCAAATTTGCTCCTATATAAAGCTTAAAAAATCAATTTAAAAACCTCTAATTCACAATAAGCCAAGACTGAATATCTTTATGGAAAAAAAGTATTCACTCTTCTCGGCTGAATGCTTATTTTTGGTTTGGTGTACTTTAGTGAGACAAAGATTGGACAATTACAGTAGATTTAAGCATTAGATAGGGAATCAAAAAGCTCAAAATTGTAAGAATCGATTCAAGTGTAATAGAAGTTATATATTTATCTTCTGTTATAAAATTGGATAATAAATCTAATAACCTCTTGCATAGTTCTTTCTAAAAAGTCAAAGTACAATATCTCTTTCAAATCAGATTCCTCAATATTAGTCGGTTTCCAAAATTAGAACGACTGTTCTCCCTTGTACCAAAGCAAAAGGAAAAAGGGAAAAGCTTTTTTTTCTTTTATCTTATCACTCTTTTCTCTTTCATTACTCTGTTTTGTGGAGGGATTTTGTCAACAGTTTTCTCCCAGATTCAGCTTGGCCTGTTCCAAGCCTTCCCCAGCCTTCTCCAGCCTTCCCCAACCTTCCCCCCTTTGGGCACTCATGTGGCCTTCCCGTGAGTGTTTATCACCAACCCATTATCAATAGAGATCTAGATTTCCGTCAACTACTGAATAATTAACATTTATAACCTAGTAGATCTATTTTATTTGTCATTTTTAACACAATAACCGACTGCTTAAGGCGAATTTTATGTGCAAATTGTCTCAGAGTTTTAACCTCGTATTTACCATTTAGCCATAAAATTTGCATACATGCTAATTTTAAAAAAACGGTTATACTAAAGTTTCTAACCCACCTCGTTGCGCACAACAGGCACAGCAAAACCGATTCGGATTTTCTTCTGCTCTCCAACGGAGAAGTCGAAATTTCCCTCAAATGACGTGATGTTCTCGACTTGAGACGATTTACGGAAAAGACGGAGCTGAAAAGGAAATTTTTTGATTGATTTAGAATCCTGGTTTATGTCCTAGACTCATGTCACAGGATATTTCCTTTTCCCAACTCACCCGAACATTGTTCAATGGCTTGTTGCAAAGGTTGACGAGACGGAACGATTTCGTTAGCACTTCTTTCTCACCAAGCACACCGAGTGGCTGGAAATGGGGATTGTTTAGTGAACATTAAAATGTGTTTCTTCTACCGTAACCAGATAATCCCTAGTGGAAGTTATAGTAAATTTTGCATAATGGATAGTGAAAGGAAATGAATGAAAAGACTTTCTGGACAGATCAACTAATCCAATTTACAGCATAAATTTAGATGGAATTAGACTTTAGCCTACTACAACTACCCTGTCTTACTCTAGGATTTGTATATTAACAAAAGAAAGACTAAAAACATACTGACAAAAGAGCGATTGCTTAAACTTTATCTTTCTTTCTTTTTTCTTTCTTTTTAAAATCTTTTTAAAACTCGGTCAACTCAAATTCACTCACCTTTGTGCGGCACTCCCTCGCAATGCCAATTCTCGGCTCTGAATATCCCTTTTTCAAGATCACTACTTCATGTCCTGTTGACTGTTGTTTTGCATTGATCATTGACATTTGCGTCTTCTCCACTCGTTTCACACGATCCTTTCGGGGCATCATCACAACGGCACGCGGTTTCGCTCGTTCCACTAAAAATAATTGCTTTAAAGAGATGATAAAACTAAAAGATAAAATGGTTAGCCAAATAAATGTTATGCAAGGGATTTTATTGCAAAAAAAAAGGCAGATGGATTAAGGAGATTTTCCCTCATGGTATCACAAATCATATCTTGTCTTTTTGTGAAATTGTCTTGATTTTGGGAATATATGGGAAGAAAGGGTAAATTTCCTCAGGGAATTCCTCTTATCTCTACCTCTAGACAGATAAATCATGTTTATCTTCTGTTATAAAATTAGATAATAAATCTAATAAATCTTATCTCTACCTCTTTGAGTGTACTAGTGTAGCAGTTATCGTAATAGCATTAGGAAAAAAATGATACAGAAAAATAAGCTTCACTTACAAGTCACATGGTTAGCGACTGCTTTGCTTTTGCTAAGCTGCTGTAGATTGGAAGTTTAATGCAAACTCTTGCTAAATGCTAATCACAGAGTATTAGGGTATTACATCAAGAAAAGTGATCATTACAGGTCACAAGAATCATTGTGAACTCCTCAAAACTGTTAGATTGTGTTGTTGAACTTGATAATGGCAAAAAAATAATCTTTTTATCTACTAAAAAGCAAAGATAGGTGATCGAAGAATCGGAAAAAGAACCGTATATTCAAAAAGTGCTACAGGCATTTCTGATTGATGAATTGAGGAATGAGGGGACTCATCATGGAGACACCAATAGTCAATAATGGAAAGGGGTGCTCTCTCTGGGATCTGCGATGTGTACCCTTCCCCCTTTCCCACTCAATACCTCAATCTTGAGACTCTGAACTACAAAGGTTTCTCCACCAATGGATGGATCGATTCTCACCAGTTCAGTCCCTCAAATGACCCCGTCTCCTCCTTTTTCCTCCCGGCCACTCCCGGCCCTTGAGCCTGCCCCCTAGATCCGTATTTGTGTAAATTTACAATCTCTCTTTAGATCGGCAGATTAGGTGACTGTCGACCTCCTTTTTTTCCTTGACTGACTACTTTTTGAAGAGCTAAAGAGTTGATTTTGAGCTAGACTTACTTATTGATCGATCAATCATGATCAAATGATTGAATGATTAAAATATCAAACGAAAGAAAACATTGATAGCTATAGTTTTCAATAAAAGATCAATAACCAATAGCCATATCTACTTTGAGCCGGATAAAATCGATCATATAACACTTTAGAATTGAATTATTTAACAATATACCGTTGAAATAATCGTAAATTGAAAGTACAATCAAAATATGTACCCAGGTTTTTAATCACGTGAAAATATCCAAATCTAACCATAGAATTATCCAGAAAATACTCAACGTTGGTACGTAAAGTAAGGAAAATTAAACGCTTATGGTACTGTTGTTTTCAAAAATATGATTCTTGGTTAGATGTCTGTTTTAATTTATTACCAATTTTTTCAATTCCCCTTTCCTCCAAGCACTCACTTTTCAGATTCTCGCCGCCATCTTTGCGCTCCTCTTTGCACCGCTTCGTCACTCCATTTCCGATCATCCCGCTTTCGCTAAAAATGCTTGAAAATTAAATTCTAAACAGAAACTAACTCCACAAAACATAAGAAAAAAAAACAATCTTTCGTTTTTGTAAAAAAAGGAAAAAATTTGGGTCGTGCCGGGGTTTGAACCCGGGATCTCCTGTAAGTGCGAGCATTCCCGAAACAGGCATCGTACCACTAGACCACACACCCGGCTGAACACGCCGTTAAAATCGCTACTTAACGGCGCTAAAGCTCGGTTGAAGCTTTCGGTTTTAATGCGTATATTCGTAAACGGCTAGCGAAAAATTCCATTCGTTAGCGGCTGAATTTCGTAAACGGCTACGACATATATATATATATTATTTTACTATAACAAATCAAATCCTAGCATCTGTGATTAAAATAAACTTCAAAATTCAATAAAAATCCTATCAATTTTCAAGTTTTGACCAATTTCAATCTTCTAGCAATAATTTCATACCGTTTTCCCAATTCCTTCTTTCGATTCGCATTAGCTGTGCCCCATGTATGGAAGGGTTTCGAGAGATTCTTAAGGACAGCCGGTGGAATCGGACGCGTTTTGTATAAAGTGCCCGCCACGTCGCGGTTCACCAAAATCGACGGATCGTCCGGGTGATGGAACCACTGAAAAATATGGGATAAAAGTTGAAAAGGTATACTTTAAAAGCTTAGTGAACTATAAATGGATCGTGAAGATCCGGTTCAAGTGGCTAAAAAACTGGTTTTACTACTGATTGGTTTACTCCTTATGAACGGTACTTTTCTTTTGCGTTAGCTGCAACTGTCGTGCAAGTAAACGGCTCAAGCTATCCACGAACCTTTGACGAACTGCCAGTGGCCGTATTTCTCATTGTTGGCTTCTCGGTTTGAATCTGGGAATCGTTTTGTCTCCCTTTTACTGTATGAGAAGCCGTGTGCACAAGGGACAATCCGCTGTGAGACTCGATTTTCTTCTCTGCGAAGAGCTCAGAGCGAAGCTGAAAGTTTTCAATTAAACAAGAACAAACAATTAAACAATTAAAGAAACAGATTAAACAAAATCATCAGATAGCAGAAAAAAAGCCAGAACAAGTCAGAGATTAGGCAAGACTTGGCTCATAGCTCTAAAGCTCATAGCTCTGGCCTATAGCTCTAAAAATAGCTCATATTCCCTAACCTTTTCCAAATTAACCTTGAGTCCTTGTAGTGGGAAATTTCCTTGCATCATGTCGATCAACTCCATATATTCGGCTTTTTCACGCTAAAAACTTTGAATAGAATTTAGAAATTTGTTCTTATTTGCACTATACACTATCAACTATTGATTTCTTGTAAATTTTTTTTCAAACCTCATTCCCAGTGGCCGCATCTTTCGATAACTTTGTATCGGTTTGCGAGCAACCGTCAACCGATTGCGAATTCGTCATCGTCATCGTCAAACCGTGCTTCGACTCAAAGTGGCCACAGATCTAAACAAAGCTAGATTTATTTGTGTACTATTTTTAAAGAAAATCCTCTAATTTGCATTTTATCTATATACTACGGAATTCTTAAATTAAATTGGTACGATTTGTAGTGTTAAATTCTACCTGATTCATGTCAATCCTCTGTCCAGCGTCGATCAACTCCGATTGAAGTTCGTCGATAAAATCGAGAATTTCCGCGTTTCCACGTTGCTCGAATGGTTTCATTGGAGTGCTCTGAAGTGAAAATTGGGCAATTGAGGCTCTCTATATGTTTTACCTTTTTAGCGTCATCAAGCATGCAAGCCTCGAAACTCTCGGGAGTCATCACACTGCCTGGAGTCGACGAGTTCGGGGTGGCCGGTGGGGTGCCACAAAGTGGAGAACTAAATATAATCTTTGATTGTCGATTATGTACTTTCCCTATGTCCCTTGAGCTGATTTAAATCCTAGCTACTTTCCAAAGCAATCGCTATCTATTATGATATGAATCTGATATGAAAAAAACGATTGCAAGGATGCAGTAAGAAAGATTAAATTAAATAAATACTCACCCAGTCATTTCTTTCATCTCGTAGCTTTGCAAGATTCGCGATTGATGCGTCAATGTTCTAAATGATCGAACATTGAGTACTTTGGGATGCAAAATTCAATGAGAATCAACTTGTCTACTGGAGTAAGACGTAAAAATAATATAATAAGTATACTTGATTGCATTCTCTCGAATGATCTCTTGTTTCTTCTCGAGGCGTCGGATCGTTTCCACAAAATCTTCTCCGCAACACCACGATTCAAGGGGCTAAATGAGAATTTTTAGACAAACTTAGACTATAAATCTTAATTTAGTATTTAACTAAATAATTTAGGTTTATTTCTGAAATCCCTCACCGATTGTGATCGATCGTTGGCCCAATTGCGTTGCTCGAGAACCATGTTGATTGGACGAACCGTTGTGCGCAAATCGATCCGTTTTGATGGCTGATCTCGGGCATAACGGATTAAATCCTAAAAATCGATAAAATTATCGAATCAATTTGATACAAAATCTCTATTAGATCTTTAAAAACCGACCAGATATTGAATGGCGGTCGGATTTTCGACACAAATCTCGTCGCTCTCATCGTCCACGTACTCGAGCGTGAATTCCGGAGAGGTCATTCTAAAACGGATAAAATGGATAAGTTTGAATAAAATGATATGCAAGAATTAGATAAATGTCTAAACATCTATTTTCCTATATTTCAATCCAATTACCTAGCGTTGACGATTTTCTCGATCCACTGCGAGGCGCTGACCATCTGTGAGAGTTGCAACGAGGTGACTTCTAGAAAATTTGAAAGTGAGATTATTGAATTATTGATTATTGAATTTTATCTCACTTTACCCACTATCTATTGCATTATTTGCACATCAAAGAGCTCGCCTTGCGCTTAATAAATTTGCGGATTCACAAAGAACGCCACGGCAAGTACGGCGTAAATCTTATCTCTGCTATTTTAAGGGAAATGATCGACAAGTGGCAATTATTGTAAGCCATTTTATATTACAAATTACGACTTACATCACAATGAGTAATGAATGGGTAAAAACCTGTAAAGTATTACAGGTTTTTACCCGCTATCGATAGCGGGATCGAAGAAAAAAAAGCAAAAAGATGAGCGGGACCGACAGGCCCACCATCCACTAGGTCACCAGTGATTAAAAAGCGCCCTTTAAAGCTTATCGTCGAAATTTCAATTCATTTTTTACGCGTTTGCATGCTTATTTGGTAGATTTTGGTTTCAGATTATGAATCTCCATTTAGTAAGATGTACAGTGGTCCACAAAAGTAATGCCCCATTGCCATCCAACAGCATGTTTTGTAAGGAAATCTTGCAAAATTGACATTTCAGAAAAAGAGTAGGGTATTTTTATCTACCTATAAGACTCTACTTTTCAAGAATATAAGATTTATCCCTATACATTTTTATATTCTTCTTGCCAGCCAACTAAATAATAAAATCGAAAGACTTAATGTTCATAGAACGCAAAAATAAAGAGAATAATCAAGGAAAACATCAATGGAACATTACTTTTGTGGAGCTAATTTTAGGGGTAAGTGCACTCTTCCACATCGATCTTTTGTTTGGAAGGATCTCAATCAAAAAAAATCCAGTTATTTAACAACTAGAATTTCTAAAGTATTTTAAAAGAAAAATATATATTTTAAACATGGGTTTTCAGGAGGAATTTTGCAAAAAATACTTTTGAATGGCAATGGGGCATTACTTTTGTGGACCACTGTATGTGGTTCGGAAAGGAAAGCTCGAAAGTTCGTGACTTTTCCTTTCCTTTCCTAGTCAACTTGAAAAATATAAAACGAAAATATCTTTACCATGAATGCGAAGTCGCAGAAAATACTGATTATTGTAGTTGAAGATCAATTCGGCGTAATCGTTAAGCGATTGGGCGAAGAAAGTCGGCCATGGAAGGGGAATTGGTGAGGACATCGTTCAGATGATCGGAGCGGAGACTGCGATCAGATGAAGGCTCACGATTTCTGAAAAAAAACTAAATTAAACATGAAATCAATGGGGGAAAAATCGTTTACATGTACCAAAACAAAATTTGGAAGAAAAAAAATTAATAAAGGGTTGGTTTCAAGTTTCGAAAATCGGATGAGAGTCTAGCAAACGAAAAAAATTTTTAATTTTTAATTTTTAACTTTTTAAATTTTAAAAACGAAGTTTAGTAGATGAATTTTCGAAATTTTTGATGCAAATTCGTTCCAAATGGCTTCCCAATTTCTCTAGTGAAAAGCCAGCCAGCCAGCCAGCCAGCCCACCCAGCCGTACTTCGTGAAAAAGAAAACGAAAAAACGCACGCTACGCTCTCTAGTAGAGTGTGTTCCTATCGAATAATGCCTTTTTCTAAAATGCACCTAAAATGCACTTTGAGAAAGCTGAAAAAATTGATTAAACCTTGCAATTCCTCATCGAATGATACCAAAATAGGATTGATTGCATGGAAACTAGCGTTTTGACAACGGTACTTTTCTCAACTAGGTGCATTTTCGAAAACGCATTATCCGATAGGAAAACACTTTACTCTTTGGCACATTCAAACTTTTCTTACCGTAAATACCGATTAGAGTATGGATTGAAGCTACCGTAAATACTATAATAGTACCCCACCGCCCTCGTACAGTCGCGTAGTCGCAAAAGTTTTTTAGTATTTCATTTTTTTCAAAGCGCCCGTACTTTCAAAAAATGCGTCTTTGGTATCAAAAAATAGCTGAAATTCAGGGCTATTTTTTGATACCTGAGCGCGCATTGTAGCATAAACCAGTGTCGAGAAAAACTCGTTCAAAGCTAGACTACGCAACACTCCGCACCGTCATTATGGGGGTGGGGTACTATTGCAGTATTTACGGTAGGTTTCTGGTTTACTCGAAATTTACAAATCAGAAATAAAAGCTCTGGCTTAGGCTTAAAAGATGTTTAGATAAGAAATAAAGCTATATTTTGATTATATTCATTATCATATTCGTAAATGCAAAGGAAAAATCGGGTAGAATGAGAGAAGAAGCCACGTTGTACGATTGGACGGCCTTTCTCTTGTTTCTCTTTTAGATGCGGACTGGTCACGTGTCTCCTTTCCCTTTTCCATAAGAAAAAAAAGAAACGAACAAGACAAAAAAGCAAAAAGAAAGCAAACAATTTTCTGGATTATATAAAAAAAAAAAGATTTGCATAGACTTAAGAATTCTAAATCTAAGATTTTGATGCTTTGACTTTTTTATGTATTTGTAAATACATAGAACAATCAAATGCATAAAAAAGTCAAAGCATCAAAATCTTAGATTTAGAATTCTTAAGTCTATGCAAATCTTTTTTTTTTTATATAATTTTCTTCAATATTTGGCTTATTTGAAACATTTTTTTACTGAAAATTTTCAAAATTTGTTTAAAAAAACGAAAAAAACGGCTCAAATCTCTTAATAATATGCTATTTTGCTTAAGAATTGGTAAAAATTGACAAAAATTGGTAAAAATTAGTAAAAATTAGTAAAAATTAGTACTTGAAATTAGGTTCAACTTGTCAAGAATTGGATTCACTTTTGTCTAGCTCTTTAGAGTAAAACTTTATTGAATATTTTATTGAATAAGATGGTTATCTAATTCTAAAATATATCTAAAAGTTTATATAAAAGAAAGTATAATAGTTTTCTTTAAGTTCTACAGGTTCTATGGACTTCTATAGTTATAGAAGTGAGTTCATTTCTATAACTAGAACTATAGAAGTCTATGGAAACTGTAGAATTTTAAAAAGAGCTACTTCTATAGCTGGTTTTTTTTTGTTTGCTATACAAAACATAGATAACCCAAATTTGTATCGAAATCAAATCCCAAACTTAAAAGTTCTATCGGTAACCTTTTGCTCATTTGGGGTAAACAAGAGGTGCCCCGTTTGGGGGTCAAAATCGAGATTCGAGTGCCAAAGGTCACCCCTCCAACCTCCACAACTCAAATTTGCATTTGATCTCGAGAAAATACTGTATCTACAATCGTAATTTACATTTGAAGCAATACCCCGTTTAGGAGTTGATATATTGGGTTGGGGAGAATGAGTCGGCGCCGAAAATGAAAAAAATGTCTAAAACTTCTATTCGACTTCGTCAAATAATATGCGTTTGATATGAGTATAATGGTTAACTAATTCTCTACAAAATGACATTTAAAAGAAAATTCAAACAGCGCCTCCGCTCAAGAAAAAGCCATTTTTTCACAAAAACTACAAACTGTGATCTAGAAAAAACCATTGGTGGGATCTTCCTGCAAATTTGGCAACTTAAGTAATTGAATGTGCTCTATCTTTTTTATATAAACACCAAAGAAGGTTTATGTGAAAGAAACTGTTCAAATGATGAGTCGGACTCTTTGCCATTTTAACCAGCTGCGTTTCGAAGTTCATAAACCCCACGAAAGAAAAGCTTTGTGGAATCTCTCAAAAGTCATTTTGTAGAGAAATGTGGTCCTTTTGTGAAACCAAACGTATGTTTAAAGAAGGCTTTATGTGTGCAAAAAGTCCCCTTTAAAGTTTGGCGCCGACTCATTCTCCCCAACCCAATAGAAATATCGTATCCCAAGATAACGCTTACAGATTTAAGATTATGCTTGTGAATGATTATGATTGTGAATGATTGTGATTGCTTATAGATTGTACAGATCTGTAAGCAAGGATAATTGCATAGGAATGCTAGATTGATCCTCTGCTAAATTTCTAGATATATGATAGTGAATGATTATGATTGCTTATAGATTGTACAGATCTGTAAGCAAGGATAATTACAAGGAATGCTAGATTAATCCCATGCCAAAGTTCTAGATATATTTAGATATCTAAATGCCAAACCGGCAGCTAATTAAATTCGTTTACAACTTTTTTTTTTCCATGGCTTTAGGTCATAAAAGGTTTATGTGTCACGGGGAAATCCTACAGCTAGGAAAACAAGTTTGAAAATTTAGCTAAAATATTTAGCTAAATCCTATTACTATAAGATTTTCATGTTTTTACTTTTTTCTTAAGAGTTCCAAGTCCGTAAATAGACGAAAAAAATGAGAGCTTTTGATAACAGAATAGGGAAGAGATAAGCAAAAGCAGTTGGAAAACAAAAAAAATACTATCAAAATATAAATTGTGAAAGTTCTTAGCTTATTTGAATAATACTGGATTGATAAAATTGTTCTGTTCTATGCAAATTGTTCTATGCAAATTATTCTATGTAAATTATTCTATCGAATACCAGAATGCTTTATTCTTGTTTACTAGAGCGAGATGGGATTTATAGTTCTTTCGAAAAAAGCTAACAAAACAATATTACGACAATATTCGTTAGAAAAATAAGAACAAATATCTTTAAGTGATTAATAAACAAGCTGCGAAAAGCTAATTGAATATTTGATGGTAAAATTATTGAATAAATCTTGATATTGATAGGAACAAATGAAATTTTGAAGCATCTGTCTCTTCCAACATTGCATTCAATTCTTTTCAAAGCAAAGCCATCAGAAACAGAATCCTTTACCAAATTCAGTTAGGGAATTCAGTTAGGCAATTCAGTTATGTCTTTCAAAAAACTAGCTTAATCTTGCAAAAGGCAATTAATTCAAGAAAAAGATCAAAAATAATATCAACTGACTACCAACTGGCCAATGGTTAGTTGGTAAAAAGAAGAGGAAAGAGAATGTGTTGGAGAAGTGGTTCCCAATGCCTGCAGGGGTCGATCAGTGTATGGAAGGGGAAGGCTCCTCTCTCAGCTGTGCAGTCAGCTGAGTCCGTCCTTTCGTTCTCTTTTCTCTAGACACGCCTAGAAAGGTCTAGTCTTTAGAAGAAAAGGAGAGATTTGGGAAAGAAAGAGATTTTCGAGCTGACAAAAGATGGGAGCGGTGAAAGAGACGGAGACAGGGCAAGGGAAAAGAATGACTGTGAGAAATGGGGATATACCATAGTTGATTGAGAGAGCCCAGGGATGGCTAGTGCTTTAAAGGATGAAGAATTTCAAAGACAGGGAAAAGATTGTGAGATGGGTTGACGGACGACCGTGCCGCGCGGCAATGCACGCGTCACGGCTCTATTTTTGTGAGAAGGGTTAAGGAGAAGGGAAATGTTTGTCTGTGTCCGTATACGCTTTTCCTTTCCTTTCCTTTTCTTTCCCTTCCTTTTCTTTCCTTTCCTTTCCTTGCCTTTCCATTCTCTTCTCTTCTCTCTTCACCCATTCATCTCTCTTCCCTTTTCCCTGTTCTCTTCCCTTTTCCCTCTCCTCTTCCCTTTTCCCTTCCCTCTTCCCTTTTCCCTTTCCTCTTCCCTTCCCTCTTCTCTCTTCCTGTTCTCTTCCCTTTTCCCTTTCCTCTTCTCTTCTAAAATCACAACCTTATGCATTTCACGTGCACTGGATCGAAATGGATAAATTCTGGAAGGGAAAAGCGAAAAAAATTGTTTGATACAAGATTTCTTGATATACTTGATATTAGGCTTCAAAAATTTCGAAGATTATTTTAATAATTATACTTTCAACTATGAATAAAAGTGTAAAAAAAACGAAAACTGAAACACTCACAGGACTGCGAAAAACATAAAAACATGATAAAGCAGAGATTAAATAAACATATTGACAAATGAGTAGAAGGCAACCTTAGAAGGCAACTAGGGCAAACTTAGAAGGCAACTAAGGCAAACTTAGAAGGCAACTAGGGCAACCTTAGAAGGCAACTAAGGCAAACTTAGAAGGCAACCAAGGCAACCTTAAAAGTAGTACGGGATTTGATAAGCGTAAATTCATTTCGTAGAGAATTCTATATTCTAAAAACTTTTAAACGAAAAGATTTAAACCCTATTTTCGACTTATTAGACTCTCGAAAAAGTCTTTCCTTTTTGTACTTTCATTTTAAACCAACAAATGCACCAATTGAACTACGGTTTATTTCATTATAGAAATGACAATTATTTT